TAAAGTTTAACCAGACAGACCCATGCTTGCCTCTATATATAGCTAAATGTAAATTTCCTCTCTCTGTTTTCAGAGTAAACCGAGATGTGAACTGGCCTGAAACAATCCCCACAATGGTTGTCGATGCAAGCACAACCAAATGGGGGACCGTTGTTGGGACCCAGATTAAGGGACAGTTTTTTCCAGACCACCAGACAGACCCCACTGGAGGGTCTCTTCTCCCTCCAACCCCAACCCCCTGGTGTGATTGGTTGTTAGGACCACCTCCATCCTAACAACCCATGACATCCTGTGCATGCCCCATCTCCAGCATCAAAGGAAGATGGGAGTGGAACTTTCTTCATCCAGACCTGCAGCCTGCTCTGCCTGGTGTTAAGGTACAGGGGCACTCTGTTGGGGACATCAGGTGTAATGGGGCATTCTGAGGGGACACCAGGTGTAAGGGGACACTTTGATGGAGGCACCAGGTGTAAGGGGGAACCCTAATGGGGACACCAGGTGTAAGGGGGAACCCTATGGGGACACCAGGTGTAAGGGGGCACTCTAATGGGGACACCAGGTGTAGGGGGCACTCTAATGGGGACACCAGGTGTAGGGGGCACTCTAATGGGGACACCAGGTGTAGGGGGCACTCTAATGGGGACACCAGGTGTAGGGGGCACTCTAATGGGGACACCAGGTGTAGGGGGCACTCTAATGGGGACACCAGGTGTAGGGGGCACTCTAATGGGGACACCAGGTGCAGGGGGCACTCTAATGGGGACACCAGGTGTAGGGGGCACTCTAATGGGGACACCAGGTGTAGGGGGCACTCTAATGGGGACACCAGGTGTAGGGGCACTCTAATGGGAACACCAGGTGTAGGGGGCACGCTAATGGGAACACCAGGTGTAGGGAGCACTCTAATGGGGACACCAGGTACAGGGGGATGCGGTCATGGAGACACCAGGTATAATGGGGCACTGTGATGGAGACACCAGGTGTAAAGGGGCATCCTGGTGCAGACACCTGATGTAAAAGGGAACTCTGATGAGGACATCTAATTAAAAACAGCGCTTTTAATGGATACCTGATGTAAAATGTCACTCTGATGGGGACACTTAATGTAATGGGGCACACTGATGGAGACACGATGTAAGAGGGCACACTGATAGGGACACCAGATTAAAGAGGTCTCTTGATTAGGTATCTGATCTAAGGGGCACCGTGGAGGGGGCACATTATATATATGGCCATGCTGATGGGGACACATTATATAAATCACCATGCTGATGGGGACACATTATATAAATGGCCATTCTGATGGGGACACATTATATAAATGGCCATTCTGATGGGGACACAAGATACAAGGGGGAACTCTGATGGCAACATCAAATTAAAAGCAGCATGTGTAAAGGGCCACTCTGATGGGGATACCTGATGTTAGGGGGCACACTGAAAATCGACAATAAATAAAAATGAAATGCAATGGAAACTGAACATTGCTTATGTTACAAAAGGCATAAAATGACTACATACATACTAGGGTCTAAATCATAGGAAAAACACGGAAGAAAATTTTACTGACTGGACCTCCTTGAACTTAAATTCAATAACTCCTGATCGAATGTATCGCTATGAATCAAGATATCCAAAGAAAATAAAAATGCATATGCTTGATGGAGAAGAATCCCCATGACAGCACCAGACACACATACAAAGATTAGTGTCCAGGCAGTACATGTGGCCTATTTGTGATGAGGACAACAAGGGGTGTGATGGTGGGCAGTGATGAGTGTTGAGTAGTCTGAACGTGGCCTTATACTTTTACCTTCTATCAAGCACTGTGAAGACAGCAGCTCAAACTTCATTAACCAGCCTAGCAGCTGCCTCACCCTCGGCTGCTATTACACCGGAACACTTTAATGAGACTTTTTTCCTTCAGTCCTAAGCTGGCCATACATTTTACAACTTGTCTGTACAGTCTCATTACCAAAACTATATTTTACGAGATTGTCCCAAAAATATTAACGCAACTGACGTATTTAATATTTGTTTTTTGTCTTCCTTTACATTCACTTACAATTGTACTTCCTAAATCCATGGTAAAATGGCGCCGTGCAGGCGCACGGACATGCATTGCATTTTGGACTCTGGCAAGATGGCGCCGGCGTAATGCGAACACGCCATCTTCCATATAAATAGCCGGCTGTAATGTCATGGCGTCATTTGGTCTCCGCCTCTGAAGAAGTGCGTGTGCACGAAACGCGTTAGAAGGAGCCTAGGACGTCGTGGCAGGACGCCGCCGAGCCACGTGGAGGCCCGGCAGCCATCTTAGATTCTGGATGGTCGGTCTTTATCATTACCTGACGCTGCTGCTTGTGTTTTTCATATTGCTTTAATGAGTTCATATTTAATAAATCTACTTTACAATATACTGCACTATGAGCACTCTTCTTGGTCTCCTTTGAGGAGCTATGTTATTTATAGAGCCCTGCTGTGATCCAGTCATCTACCCACTGTATCCAGAGAGGGAAAGCTCCTGTAAGCAGGCACCTGTACCTATCCATCCCTTAAAGGGACCTCTAGCCAGCTAGATCATCTTACTTCTCTGAGGGCTCATAGCAACACCACCCTGAGGGAGAATTATCCGTGTTCCAGACCAGACCTATATCTGTGAAGGAGATCCTCATTGATTCATACACTGCGTACTTGAATTACGCATCTGGTGAGTGCGTACTTTTTACCACATTATTGGGAGCACTGCCACTGGATTGGATTGTCATACTACATTACCTTTATTATATAGACTGTCACTGCCATTAAGCACTTATACTTTCAGCCAATTCATGATATTGGGGACAGTATTTATTGATATTCACTTTTTAGCGCTGCATTTATTATATGTTTATGACAAGGTTTTTTTATCGGTTTCCTTGAGTGTTTCAGCTGCTTACTGTAGAGCGCTCACTTTGATTACCCTATCTACATTATATTTTACGAGAGTCTACTTTAACAAACCATTCAGTTAAGATTCAAAGACACAGGCCCTTGTACTACATAGTAGTTGTTAGATCTAAATAAGACTGTACAATCATATTACAAAATGTATTCCCAGCTTTAAAGCATTTGTAGAACAGTTTTGACTCATTCTTGCCACCATTATTTACAAACCTCTCCATGGAGGTGAGCACTTATTTGAGAGGGCCTACTCATTATCATGTAGAATTTCCTTTTAACTCATCACTATTAAAATGTAACAGTAAACTCGTTATACGTCTTATTTTAGTTGCGTCGGTCGTATCATCTCTGAATGCAGACAAGAGCTAAGAGAAAGTGATGATGTATCCAAAGGATCACATACAACCATTTTTTGGATATATTAAATGTATACATATAAAAGAAAAGCACTGTAAAAGCTACATTGATGTTGAAGTACTGAAGAGCCCATCCCAGTTTTTATAGGAACAATTATAGAGGTGTAGCAGCACTTTGGAGAATAAATAGCACTCATTGTAAAACATTCCTTTTAGTTTTTGATGTCTTGCAAGATATTTTTAGATATGCTGGTAGAGCAGCAGTTGCTTCCACAAAACATTTAGCTAGAACTAGCTTCACATCATCTGGAATAGACTCCCTCAAAAGTTAGTTCTGGCCAGCTCAGTGGATTGCTTCAAAAAAGGCCTGGATTCTTTCTTAGATACACAGAATATAACTTGTTACTAACATTTATAGGTAAAGTTGATCCAGGGAATATCTGATTGCCTCTCGGGGGATCAGGAAGGAATTTATTTCTCTGCAGGAGCAATTGGATCATGCTTTGCTGGGTTTTTTGCCTTCTTCTGGATCAACTGTGGGTATAGGATTATAACTTTTTTTTTCTACGGTTGAACTGAATGGACTTTTATCTTTTTTCAGCCAGACTAACTATGTAACTATGTAGGACCTCATAACGGGGGCAGTATAACTGAGGTTATGGATCTGTGTCAGGGTCTCGTAGGCTGACTGGCCCCTGGAACCACAGAGGTGGAAATGCGAGAAAACACAACTTTACTGGTGTACGGCAAATGTCATGACCACCACAAGCCTCCACAAACCATCAGAGACAGGGATGGACTGACCATATGGAAACTCGGGCGCTGCCCGAGGGCCTGCGGTCAGTAGGGGGCCCCATGAGATGCCCCTGGTACCTTTTTCATAGGCTTTTTTTGAGTTTGGGCAAGGACACAGGGGCCCCATGATCCCCTATTACCCGGGGGCCCCATGAGTTGTCAGTCCACCCCTGCTCCTACCCTCTTGCTGGTGTCCCCAATAGGAAGCCAATTTCCATAGGTGCACTTGTGCAGGCTCGCTCTCTAGTCCCGCTGCTCCGTCCATTGACATAGACAGCTGGTCTCTACCAAGCCCCTCGCTCCCTTGTCACTGGAATTGACTGACAGGAGCAGAAACCAATGGCTCCGCTTTTTTGAGTTTGGGCAAGGACACAGGGGCCCCATGATCCCCTATTACCCGGGGGCCCCATGAGTTGTCAGTCCACCCCTGATCAGAGATCACATGGAAACTCTCAGTCCTGCAGTGATGTAAACATGATCAACATGATGACATCATCACGACATCACCAAAATCCCAGGTATTCCTGCACTGAGATCTGCATGCCAGTACCAAAAGCGTATTTCGATAAAAACCTTAAACTAGCATACAAGCTTTAACTACTATAATGATGTATCAATGAATCCAACGAAAATTACGATTTAAAAAAATCAAGTGATACACACACTTTTTTGGATTTTATATCAGTGATATGTGGTCAGTAAAGACGTGCACTGGTACAGTGGCAATCAGTGGAGAATTTCACATCGCTGCAGTAGCAGTCAGAAGAAAAGGGTACGTCAGTGTAGGTGAGAAACACATGAAACCAGGGTCTGTCTGTGCATAATACAAGGATAAAAAATTGAAAGCAGGTTTCCAGTCGGCATACCAACGCAAAACGCATTTTAGCTATTTCAGCAGCTACTTACAGCATCTTTAGGATTTCCACGTAGCAGCTCAACACCCGCTCGGCCTGTGGGCTGAGCTCAATGCTCATGGTGCTGCAGGCTGGGCTGATGAGCAGACAGTCAATCAAGTTGGGTTCACTATCGTTGCCAGTGTTTGCTTTCAGCTTCTGATTCACTGTATTGTTGCGCTCCACCTCCACGTGTATCTCGTTTGATGTGACGATGACTGACTTGTGTCGGGACTCCGTCGACGTGACCTCTTTGGAAACCAGGTCAGGATTGGTGTGAAGAAGCCGTAAGGGGATGTTGGGCTTGCGGTCGCACTGCTGCTGGCAGCCATTACGGATTTCTTTCAGGCTTGGCGAATTGTCTCGGCTTGGCAAAAAGCAAAAAGAAGGAGAATGTTAAATAAAGCCAAATAAAACAACATGTTGACAAAACACTCAGGGCTTTTTATTTCTGCAACCATGATGTGACTTTATGCAGGTTTGATTCAATTTCACTTAAAGCCTAAGGGCTCATGTACACTGTGGCTGATAAACTCACTTTTAGGAGCTTTTCTGCATTTTTTTTCAGCAGCCCCTGAACTCTCCCTAATGTTTTCCTATGTATCCATGTACACATCATTGTTTACAGGCAGTTGAGTTTACAGTTGTTTTTTTGAACGCAGAAAACTTGCATTCAGCAGTAGATTTTATCAGAGTTTCCAACGCCAAAAGCTTGTAAACGCGGCTAACCGCGTTTATAAGCGTTTGCAATTTTTTTTTAACTCTTCCATTTCCAGATGCTGTCCAGAGCCTTTTTTTTGAGGTTTCGCATGAAAGAAAATATGTTAGACACTGCTGCAATAATTTCTGCACAGAAACGAGCTGGAACACATCCAAACAGCTAATCTCTAATATTGTAAAGCACTGCACAAACTGTTGGTGCTGTATAAATCCTGTATAATAATAATAATAATGAAGGTAAAAAAACCTTCTGTGTGTAGCAGTCCCCCTAATACTTACCTGAGCCTCATCCCGATCCAGCGATGTTCATGAGAGCCTTGGTTCTCTGGAGACTCTCTCACTCCTGATTGGCTGATGCAGCCAATTACAGCCAGGAGTGAGGGGGTGGGGCTGAGCCACGACTGTGTGTGTGTGAATGAACGAGAGGGGTTGGGGCAGAGCCACGGCTCTGTGTGGAAATTGACACGCAGCCAATTACAGCCAGGAGAGAGGGGGTGGGGCTGAGACACGGCTCTGTGTGTGAATGGACAAGCAGACCTGTGGCTCAGGAGCACGCCCTGCTCGGGTGCCCCCATAGCAATCTGCTTCCTATGGGGGCACCTGACAGGAGGGAGCGGCCAGGGGCATATAACATGTTTGTTATTTAAAAAAACAAACAAAAACACCTGACACCCCCCCTTATGTATTATACATGGAGATCATATCCCCCCTTATGCATTATGCATGGAGATCATATCCCCCCTTATGCATTATACATGGAGATCATATCCCCCCTTATGCATTATACATGGTGATCATATCCCCCTTATGTATTATACATGGAGATCATATCCCCCCTTATGTATTATACATGGTGATCATATCCCCCCTTATGTATTATACATGGTGATCATATCCCCCCTTATGTATTATACATGGAGATCATATCCCCCCTTATGTATTATACATGGAGATCATATCCCCCCTTATGTATTATACATGGAGATCATATCCCCCCCTTATGTATTATACATGGTGATCATATCCCCCCCCTTATGTATTATACATGGTGATCATATCCCCCCCTTACGTATTATACATGGTGATCGTATCCCCCCCTTACGTATTATACATGGAGATCATATCCCCCCCTTATGTATTATACATGGTGATCATATCCCCCCCTTATGTATTATACATGGTGATCATATCCCCCCCTTATTTATTATACATGGTGATCATATCCCCCCCCTTATGTATTATACATGGAGATCATATCCCCCCCCTGTATTATACATGGTGATCATATCCCCCCCTTACGTATTATACATGGTGATCATATCCCCCCCTTATGTATTATACATGGTGATCATATCCCCCCCCTTATGTATTATACATGGTGATCATATCCCCCCCCTTATGTATTATACATGGTGATCATATCCCCCCCTTATGTATTATACATGGTGATCATATCCCCCCCCTTATGTATTATACATGGTGATCATATCCCCCCCCCCTTATGTATTATACATGGTGATCATATCCCCCCTACGTATTATACATGGTGATCGTATCCCCCCCATTATGTATTATACATGGAGATCATATCCCCCCTTAATCTCCTCTTCTCAAGAGAGAATAAATTCAGTTCCTGTAATCTTTCCTCATAGCTGAGCTCCTCCATGACTCTTATTAGTTTGGTTGCCCTTCTCTGTACTTTCTCCAGTTCCCCAATGTTCTTTTTGTGAATTGGTGCCCAAAACTGAACTGCATATTCCAGATGAGGTGTTACTAATGATGTGTAGCGGGGTAGAATGATATCTCTCTCTCTGGAGTCTATACCTCTTTTAATACAAGAGAGGGTTTTGCTCGCTTTAGAAACCGCAGCTTGGCATTGCATGCCAGGTCACAAAGCATTGGAGCCATCAAATGAGAGATCAGCAACAGTATCTCCCGTACTTCTATCCTGACAGATTCACTTTCAAATGGAGAGAGTGCTGTAACGCCTCTTAGTAGCCCCTACACTAAATTGAGCTTCAAAAGCAAAAAATACAGACAAGTGCAATAAACACTGACACATCTAAAGGAAAGTACTTGTGGTAAATAATGTTTTCGTAGCATATCGTATGTAGGTCAGGATGTTACAGCTTTATTTAATGTAGTTTCTTAAAGTAGATCAAACAAAAAAAAACCTGCTGGATGAAAGCGACCCTGTATTGTCGTTCTGTAAGGGTCCATTCACATCATTCAGGTCAGCTACAGTGCACACGTTTTATATTGCACATAAACATGTATTGTGTTCAGGCAGCACACCCATTGAAAGGGCTGTCTAATGCAGAGCACTGGAACTTGTAACCAACTGTGTATTGTATATCACAGGGGTCTCTAAACTTTCTAAACAAAGGGCCAGTTTACAGTCCTTCAGAATTTAGGGGGGGGGGGGGGGGGTCCGCCAGTAGCAGTAGAAAAGATCCGGACATCAATGGGAAAAAACAATGACACCATCTTTGGTATCATTAGGGAAAATTGTGCCCCATCGTCGGTGCCAGTGGGAGAAATTGTGCCCCATCGTCGGTGGTACCAGTGGGAGAAATTGTGCCCCATCATCAGTGTCAGTGGGAGTCATTGGGCCCCATCGTTGGTGTCACTGGGCCCCCCATCGTCGGTGTCACTGGGCCCCATCGTCGGTGTCATCGGGACAAATCGTGTCCCATCGTTGGTGTCCTTGGGAGGAATTGTGCCCCTTCATTGGTGTCAATGGGACCCATTGTTGGTATCATTGAGCGAAATTGTGTCCCATCCTTGATGTCAGTGGGGGTAATTATGTCCCATTGATAGTATCAATGGATGAAATAGTGCCCCAAGGGCTGGATAAAAGTAAGCAAAGGGCCACAGTTTGGAGACCACTGGTATATCGCAACACATGCTAGTGCATTACCACACGTTAAAGTTTATTTTAAGTGCCATTCAGAATATAACATCCCAAAGCTTTGTTTCCTATAACGTGCATTTTTTTTTTCCTTTTTCAATTTTTGCACATGTGCTAAAATGCACGTTTTGTGTATGAAAACATGCTTAAAAATAAAACATTATACATTTTTTGAAAAAAAACATAAAAACATGGTAGTTGCTTCTTTTGTTATTAGCGCAACTTTTTATCAAATCTTTATTTTCAGTAAAAAAAAAAAAAAAACATGTATGTATGGCCTGTATAGCCAATGCTACAACAACCTTAATAGCTCATCAATTTAGGTACATTTAAATAATGGCAGTGATGCCTAATACGTGTTGTGCAATCATTATTCGTGTACTCATGTTTGTGTTTTGTATTTGCATGTGTGTGTGGTTAGCAAGGTGGCTTTAATTTTTTTTTTTTTTTTTTTTTTTTTTTAAAACACTTTTTCACTTTTTTTGCTATCACAGGAGGACCAAGAAGCCCTCTTTTTTTTTGGCAGTACATATGGAGTGACAGGTACCCATTAAAGAGGCTTTAGGGGTCTCTTGAACCCCTATTGCCTCTTTTGCATACCCCTAGCTAGAGTGACTATAGACTGCACTCCATCGGCTATTTTTATATATAGGATCTGAGAGCTTTGAACATGCTTCGGGGTTCATCGCTTCTAGGGCAGATGGAAAAACAGCTGTTTCTCATCTCCTGTCTGCTCACCATATCCTGACAGCGCCAATTGCATCCTGGGCTGCTGCAGGGCACAGGTGAGCCTAGGACACACATATAGAAGTTATTGGGTGGCTGTAAAGCTGCCTGAATCACTTCTCTATGAATTCCTAAAGCCATCTAAATACAAAGTACACAAACTCATGGCTATGTTATTAGCTGTAAGTTAGTTTACATGCCAATACTAAAGCAAGCCATACATTAATCAAAAATGTGTTCGGTTCAGCAGGGACTGGCTGAATTACAATCCATGTATGGGCAACCTGGTTGTACAAACGTCTACTGATCGATTTTTGTGCAACCAGCCTGTTGGGTTTTTCCTGCTCAGTCAGTGCTGTTGGCTATCGCCAGTAGCACTGATCATTGTATTCTGACAGTGGCGAAGGATCCTCGCTGTCAGAACACAATAGTACAACCCCGGAAACCACTAAGCAACTTATTCACTCCCTTGTCATATCACGCCTCGACTACTGTAACTCCCTCCTCATTGGCCTACGCCTCATCGTAGGCTATCCCCCCTCCAGTCTATCATGAACGCTACTGCCAGACTCATCCACCTCACTAACCGCTCTGTATCTGCCACCCCTCTCTGCCAATCCCTCCACTGGCTCCCAGTTGCCCAATGGATAAAATTCACAACTCTAACAATGACATATAAAGCCATCCACAACACTGCCCCAATTTACATAACCGATCTCATCTCTAAATATCACCCAAACTGTACTCTACGCTCCTCACAAGACCTCCTACTCTCTACCTCTCATCACCTCCTCCCATGCTCGTCTCCAAGACTTCTCCAGGGCAGCACCCATCCTCTGGAACTCCCTACCTTAACCTATCAGACTATCACCTACTCTACTTGCCTTTCGGCGATCACTGAAAACCTTTCTCTTCAGGGAAGCCTATCCCGCCCTCTGCTAATTCCGGAATCCTCTAATCTTCCAACAACTCCATCCCCCACAGTGACTACCTACTGTACCACTCACCCCTCCCTCCTAGATTGTAAGCTCCAAGGAGCAGGGCCCTCAAATCCCTCTTGTATTGAACTGTATTGTTGCTGTATTGTCTCCCACTAAAGTGTAAAGCGCTGAGCAAACCGTTGGCGCTATATAAATCCTCTATAATAATAATAAGGTAGGATTCCCCCATCATCGAATATGTGGCTGGAGGAAAAGGATAAGGGATTTTTTTTTTTTCATTCAACCCACTGATTGAATGAAAAAAATGATGAATGTATAGGCTGCCTAAGATGACGTAAATACTTAGGGCAGTGGCAGTACAAAGGTTAATGTAAACTTGTTGTAAGATAAGCATGGAGGCTGCTGCTGCTGACTCTGATTCTCTTGCTTCAGTCACTGACCTGGAACAGACTTGCCAATAAGGACCTCTGACTTTATATAACTCATTTCAACTGGAAATCAGAGTCTACAGCCAACTAGTTGTACCTGTTTATTATCTGTGTAAAGCTAGGTGCAATGATACATGAGCGCTAAAGATGACACACCATGGTCAGCATCACAATTACCTGTTGATGAATTCTTCATAGCAGGAATAAATGGCAGCTAGACAGACGGCCACAAGGTTTGGTAAGACCCTGGGGTGAGGACAGTTTGCAGTGGGCCCATGCATGCTAGAAAAAAGCAGAAATTGGAATTCACAAAGTGCACATATAACCCTACAAGCAAAAAAAAAAATAACAATAAAATTTAATTTAAAAAAAAAAATGAAAAAAAAAAAAAAATAAAAAAAAAGGGAGGAAAATACAGTTTATGATACATCCAGCTATCTGGACGCTGAGATTTTGACAGCTCTCCAGACACAAACTCTGAAAGCGAACTGCCAAACCAGCCTGCTCTGCTGCATGTTACATTGCCTGGATGTTTTACACTTTTGTGAGTACGATCAATTTATTATAATAAATGCTTTTCACCGATTTACTACACCAGAGTGTTTCCCCCTTCCTTTCTTTGTATTTTCACAGGTGGATACCCCCCCTCCTTTATTAGCAGCAGCACACTTCAATGGCTCCATGCATACGGGGCGTTTTGATAACGCTGGTAACGTTAGCTGTGTAAAGTCATGTTAAAATTTGGAGTTTTTTTGTGTTTTTGTATTCGCGTTTAGCAGCATTTTCCCACGTTTGCGTTTAGTTTTTTTTTTTTTAAACTATTTTTTGGTCAAAAAAAAGTCCAAAAACGCCGGTTTACAGCGTTTTACCACATTTTTAGTGTTAGCGTACTTTTAAAGCTAAAAAACTCCTCTAGAAACCACTAGTCCTGGTTTTTTTTTCCAGCCAAAAAACGTTGATTACAGCCTATGTGTACATGAACACATTCTGGGGGGGGGGGGGGGGGGGGGGGGGGGGTTTACTGGCTGTAGAAAAAAAAATGTTAAGAGGCAAAAAAAGCAGCTGTAAAAATGTCAAGTGTGCATGAGGACTTAGGCTCCATCCACATTTGTGCAACTTGTCATACGACTTTTGGACACTAAAGTTGCATGACAAGTCATAACCCATGTTTTTCCAATGACAACCATTCAAATATGTATGACGTAAAGTTGCAGCGACTTTGAAGTAGTTCATGCACTACAACATTCATACAACTTGAGTGCCATACACTGTTATGTAAACTCTCAAAACTCCTATGAAAGTTGCACCTGAATGTTGTACATGCAACAATTGTCCATTATCATTAATGAAAGACAAAGTCGTATCCAAGTTGCACCCATCCAAAGTTGCTGCAAAGTTGTACTCCAAAGCAGGGGCGGACTGACAACTCATGGGGCCCTCGGGCAATAGGGGATCATGGGGCCCCTGTGTCCTCGTCCACACTTAAACCACACCCAAAAAAGCCTATGAAAGATATCAATGGCATCTCATAGGGCCCCATACTGACCCTGGGCCCTCGGGCAGTGCCCGAGTTCCCAAATGGTCAGTCCGCCCCTGCTCCAAAGTCTTATGACTTTGGAGTTGTTCAAGTGTGAATGGAACCTAAGTGACTTGTGCTCAGCTTCCGGCTACCCGCTCTGATGTTTTTCATTGGTCTTGTTTATTTATATTTAGTTTGTTTCTTTTTTTTTTTACTTGTTACTGTGGGGCAGTTTAGTTATCTTTTTTGTTACATTGGTTACATAGTTTTCTTTCAATGAAAGTTTTTTTGAGAGTTGAGCACTGTGCTCTGAGCCCTATAGGTGCTCAGCTCTTTTTTCAGTTAAAGTGTTACTAAACCCACAACAGTAAAATCAGTCTATATATGCAGTAAAGCATGCTTGTTATACTCACTGTGGAACCCAGGGGCGGACTGACCATTCAAGCACTAGGGCACTGCCCGAGGGCCCGTGGGTCAGTACGGGGCCCCATGAGATGCCCTTGGTACCTTTCATTGGCTTTTTCATAGGCTTTTTTGGGTGTGGGCGAGAAGACAGGGGCCCTATGATCCCCTATTGCCCAGGGGCCCCATGAGTTGTCAGTCCACCCCTGGTGGAACCTAAGGGGTTAATCTTCTGCATTGTGTAAAAAAGGCTGCTTGATCCTGACTTCTCTGCTACTCCTCTTGTTCAAATGTCCACATCTTATCTCCTGATAAGACAGACTGAACCGTAGCCATTCTGCACATGCTTAGTTTAGTGTGTATTGCTAGAGAAGTTTTTTTTTTTTTAGAAGAGTGTATGTGATCAGCACACAGCCAATCAGCACTGTCAAGGCAGGTGTTCTGCATCCTCCAAGAGCAGAGAAAAAACTCCTCCAAGCTTTCAAGCTTTATCCAGTGCTCTGTTAAACACTGATAGAAGTCACAAGACTGCTCTAACTGCTGATGAGAAAAGGTATTTAGCAGTTTATATTTACTAAAATAATTGCACTTTCATGTTCTGTGTACTGTGGGAGACCAGCTATAGTGAATGCAGGGTCCAGGGAGACCAGATATAGTGAATGCAGGATGTGGGGAGACCAGATATAGAGAATGCAGGGTCCGGGGAGACCAGATATAGTGAATGCAGGGTCCAAGGAGACCAGATATAGTGAATGCAGGGTCCGGGGAGACCAGATATAGTGAATGCAGGGTCTGGAGAGACCAGATATAGAGAATGCAGGATGTGGGGAGACCGGATATAGAGAATGCAGGGTCCGGGGAGACCAGATATAGAGAATGCAGGGTCCGGGGAGACCAGATATAGAGAATGCAGGATGTGGGGAGACCAGATATAGAGAATGCAGGGTCCGGGGAGACCAGATATAGAGAATGCAGGGTCCGGGGAGACCAGATATAGAGAATGCAGGGTCCGGGGAGACCAGATATAGAGAATGCAGGGTCCGGGGAGACCAGATATAGTGAATGCAGGGTCCTGGGAGACCAGATATAGTGAATGCAGGGTCTGGGGAGACCAGATATAGTGAATGCAGGGTCCGGGGAGACCAGATATAGTGAATGCAGGGTCCTGGGAGACCAGATATAGTGAATGCAGGGTCTGGGGAGACCAGATATAGTGAATGCAGGGTCCGGGAGACCAGATATAGTGAATGCAGGGTCCTGGGAGACCAGATATAGTGAATGCAGGGTCTGGGGAGACCAGATATAGTGAATGCAGGATGCGGGGAGACCAGATATAGTGAATGCAGGATGCGGGGAGACCAGATATAGTGAATGCAGGGTCCAGGGTTTAGTAATACTTTAATAAAATACAGTTTACAAACTGTTTTACAATCCAAATTTAGACAGTATACAAATCAAAGATGTCTCAAACATAAAACATACCAAACCTAATAATAGGCAATCTAAGTTATGTACACTGTACAAAGAGAGACTGATATAGATAGACAGACAGAGGTATAAAGGAGAAATAGTGATGTCTGACTACCAGGTGTTACTGAGTAATCGTATTGCATTAGAAGTCATTTAAGAATCGATCCCTCAAGTGTCCTTAAAACTACCATGTGCTTTGCTAAGGCAGGGCAAAATAAAAAGACTCGCTTAAAGTAATATTAAGCCTTATTTTTTTTTATTATTACATTTCAAGTGACACTAAACAATATCCTCATTCTTCAAAAATAATTACATTCCCTGCTTAATGGCCCTGTAGACTATGTGTCATAAAATTTTATCTTACTATGTTTTTCTGCCTCCTTGTAATGTCTTCTGTGAGCTCCTAAACTTTTTGTCCCCCTCACTTTCATTTGTTTGAAACGAGCAAAGCAGTTAGTTGCAGTCATGTGCACTTTCTGTACATTACAAATCCCATAGTCCATAGACTCTAGTCCATCTCAGGAAAGCAAGCTAGAGAAAGTGGTTATGTTCCTACATACAGTGGGGCCACGATAACGAAGGTAACCGAAAGTGAGATCACAGGAGCAAACTTTTTTTTTTTTTTTTTTTTAAACCACAGTTTAGTATTGCATGCTGTCTCTCCTTTATATTCAATTTTCCTTTCTTTCTTTTTTTTCAGGTGCCTTTCTGCAACTGCAGAGATTTGGCGCACAGGGACCAAATGGCCAGCATGCATGTAGCCTTAAGCCAGCCATAGACAGATCAAAATGTGGCTGGTTCAGCAGAAAGTGGTCAAATTTGGATCCATCTATGGGCAGGCTGTTTGTACTGAAGTCAATGCATCGACTGACTTCAGTACAACCGGTCTGTCGGGTATTTTTTCGCCCACTGAATGTATTCTGCCAGTGAGGAAGGCTCCCTGCCGGCAAAACACAAAAGTGCTGTGGAAGGGATTCCCCCAATGGCCCCGACTGTGTTGATGGGGGAATCAAGCTATTTTCTTTCCATCAACCCATGGTTGAAGGAAAGAAAATTTCACAACGCATGACCTGCCTTAATGTATTTCACAAGTGTGCACACTTCTATACCAATCTGTTAACCAGTCAGATTAGGCATGGATGCTTGATTGCTGTCCGCTGTCTGTCCACCTTTTATCAGCTGGCACTGGGTCCCATTAAAAAATCTGCTACAATAAAAAAAATGTTGCTGTTTAACCTTTGGGCTCTTCTGTACTGGCAAGAGTTTATCTTTAGTTTGGATGCAGAATATTTCCCAAGGCCATTGTGTAAGGATCAGAGGAAGCAATTGTATGACAAGGATATTGATTAGTCTACCTTGGCCAGGTTAACATTTAATAGAACACAGAAGAAGCTGAGGAAGATAAAATATTTGCATAAGGGATGTTTTGTTTGATAATGATTCAGTAACTACAAATCAACAAAAGGGATAGAATTATAACTGTAGCCCTCGCATACTGTACATAATAAAGTTGTACTTTCTGTCCCTGCAGAAAAGGGTGCTGGCAACCGGTCACATGACTAAGCTGAGACATTAGTCACATGATCACTGCAACACTGACTCCTCCAGAAAGACCATGCAAATGTATGTATTTCAGGTACTTATATAGCTCCATCAATTTACGCAGCGCTTTACACATATATTTTACATTCACATCAGTCCCTAACCATCAAAGGGTGTACAATCTAAGGTCCCTAATCTACATTCATACATACACATATTAGGGCCAATTTAGACAGGATCCAATTAACCTACCAGCATGTCTTTGGAGTGTGCGAGGAAACCGGAGTACCCGGAGGATACCCACGCAGACACAGGGAGAACATGCAAACTCCAGGCAGGTGTTGCCATGGTTGGGATTTGAACCGACGACCCTAGTACTGCAAGGTTGGAAGTGCTAACCATTTAGCCACTGTTCTAATGGGGCATTTCTTTGATCATTCAGAAATTAATTATTCAACACCACATTATTGCTCACTATAGACCAGAATTGAACATTTTACAGTATTTTGCAGGCGGAAGTGCTAACCATTTAGCCACTGTACTGCCCAAATGGCCACAGAGGGCCAGCAAGACCAGATTTTTTTCTGAACTTCAGTCACTATTATAATAATGCAATAGAAAGGGTTTATTTATTACGGGTATTTATTTAGCTTTGCCAATTTATGCAGCGATTTACATACTGTATTTTTCAATCAGTCCAGGCCCTTAAGGAGCGTACAATCTAAGGTACCTATCTCGCATGTATACATAGACGCACACACACATTAAGGCCAACTGACCAACCAACATGTCTTTGGAAGGTGGAAGGAAATTGGAATTTGCAGAGGAGACCAACACAGACACAAGAAGAACATGCAAACTTCATGTAGATGATATCCTGAATGGGATATGATCTAGGAACCCCAGTGCTGCAAGGCAGGAGGGCTAACCACTAAGCCACTAGGCCGTTCAATGGGAAATATAAGAACTGAGGCCTTACAGTGTCTGCATTAGAGAAATCTGCAAACAAACCATCTGTGGAGTCTCATTTGGGTTTCTTTATCCTCATTTTTTTTTATTTTTTTCCAGCAGGGCCTATAATTTGATAATAATATATAAGGGACACTAATTGACTGCTACAGGAATCACAGCAGAATAAAGGATTTGTATAGCTAGGCTGTGAACTGCCTTGCCCCAAACACTGTGTCCCCCAGGGTGGTTGCACAGATGCCGATCTACCGATTGGCTTCTGTACAACCAGCCTGTTGAATTTTGCCTACTTGACCAGCACCGCAGGCTATAGGCGGCAGTGCTGATCAGTGTATTCTGACGGTGGGGAAGTCTCATTGATGCTAGAATACAATACCAGAGCAGGGAGGATTCCCCTATCCACTTTGAGTAGATAGGGAACTAAGGGGAAAAAATTACTAATCTAAGTGCTTTGGTTTGAGGCAAGTACATATTGTAGAAGGGTATGCTTTTTTTATTTTTTATTTCAGAGGTTTACAACTACTTATGGCATGTTGATATTTGAATAATACCTCCTAAGAGACAGCCCACAGATTGCATTAGGCCTAAGGGCTCTTGAGACGCATGATCTGCCTGCATTGCATAGAGAAGCACAAAGACCCTGTGATAACATCTCTAAAATAAGGTATGTAATAAAAATGTAAAGATTTTATCTGAAAATGTAATTAGCATGTTGATGAAGGTAGGAGGGAGGAACTAGAGAAGGCAAAATAGAAGCAGATTATACTTCAGTTTTAACTCTAACTACCTACACTTAACTTATGAAAAGGGAAATCTAGATTTTATCAAAATTATTGGTTGTTATGCATTTACTTTGTTGTACTACATTAATAATTAAAAAGCAGGACTTGCAAACATGTTGAAGCACTGGATCTTTAACCCAAACATATTTTCCAGTTTTGAGAAAACACGCACAGTAGAGCGATTCAAGACTCATGACCAGCCACTGACCTGTGTATGAATTTCTTCACCACTTCCATTCCTGCGTTTAATTCATTCAAAGCCAGTATGTACTCCTGAGTAAACAGCCTTAATCGAGGACACTTCCCAAAATCCTGGACAAACAGAAGAAGGAAAAGACTGGTTTGAAAGACTGCCGGCACAGGACGCCCACAAGAAGAGATTCATTCCTCGCTACCTTTAGCACATATACATTTTTTCCTGTGTTAAGCCCGCTGGGGGGAAACCATTCCTTGTCTCCTTTAACATCTAATGTAGAACTGCTAATCCTAGAGAGATGGGAAAGCAGAGGCATCATCCAATCAGATGCTAGCTTGAGCTACAAAGCTGGAATTTGATTGGTTTATATGTTCAAGAACTTCGGGCACCTTTCTTCCACATGTATAGGTCAACTTTCTTACAGAGGACATGTCATGATAGAAATGACACTGCTGACTACTTTCTTAAAGCTGAACTCTGAGATAAACCAATATTGTCTAAATACAAGAGTCGTGTATATTCTTTCTGAATATTGGTGTGCTTTTTGTATTTCTTCCAGATTTGTGCAGTAATCCAGTGTGAAACTTTACTTCTGTGCAGGAGCTCCCTGTAATAAAGACCAGTCACTGCTGCTCTCTCTCTCCTTGTGCAGGGTGGCTGGTCTTTTCTCCACCCCTTTCTGCAGTTTTCAGCAGGAAGCCTGTAGTGGGTGGAGCCTACTGAGTTTCTCCCACAAACTCTGCTCAGGCTATGTAAAGCATAGTGATGATGTCACTGCTACTTTTACAAGGTAATATCTGTTTTTGTAAAGGATTTTGGTGAATGCAATGTGGATTGTGGCTATTGAGGACTATATTTAATAGACATTTTTATGCCTGGAGTTCAGCTTTACGTTTTTGGATACCTGGATATCATGTGGGATTCTCCTTTCAATAATATTCTTCCACTAAAGGCAACTGGGAAACCAACACTTCCAAGTGTGACGACCTCTTGTGCCCCCCACAGTGCCCAATGGTTCCTCCTGCTGACCTCTAGTAATGTGCAAATCAGCAGAAGAAACCACCGTGTTCAGAGCGGGACCAATGGGATTGATGCATCTGGAAGCGCCAATGAATTTAAACATGGGAATTTTCTTCAACAGAGTAGCATTCTAGTGGTGCAGACAATGAGAAAGGGAAGTGGTCACTTTCTTTTTTGTGCAAATAGACCCGTTGAGTATTTATTTTTTCCTGGCAGACTCACTGCCTGATGTGGAGCAGGGCCAGGGGCCCTTCCCTGCCCAAAATGGGGATCTGCCACTTGGGAGGGCCATAGGGTAGCATACCCGGATGGGCAGGAGGGGAAGACCCAGGTGGCTGCTCGCCCCCAAGGCTGAGGTTTTGGGCTGGCTTTCTCCTCCCTGTCAAGGTGTGGGGGTTCCATCAGCCATTGCCCGTTAGGCTTTGGGAAAAGCAAGAGGGATGTCGGGCTCCAAAACCACCCTCCCAAGGTATTTATTTATATTTTAATGACAGGATCACTTTGAGCAGATAACTGAAGTTAAGCTTCCGAAAGGAAGCTCCAGCTTCACTCAATTTTAAAAGTTGTGGTTTGACATGAGTGGCATGCAATCTTGACACGCGATAATCGTGGCAGATTCACAGAACATTTAGGGTGCTATTGCAAGACAATGGCACCCAAACGTGCACAGCGCATTGTGTTGTGATTGCCAGACAATTTGGAATCGCGGGTGAAATTGCAGTGATTCTGCCCACAATCCCAAATCGTGAGATCTGAATGGGACCTAAAGGAGTGCTCGACAATGACTGTGAATTCCTGGAGCAGTGATGAAACCCATAGGCTCTCATGGCCTCTCCATAGTCATCTCTTCCCCCTCTCCACTGCAGCAGCTGCTCACTGACACAGGAGAGCTGGAGCAGCTGGATCATGCGACTGGTCCAGATTAAAAATATGTAAGTTCACAGATTTTTTTTTTTTTTTTTTTTTTTTTTTTTTTTTTAATATATAGGGTAGGCAGGATAGGTAGGAGGAGGGAGAGGATCAGGATCACTTTGAGCAGATAACTGAAATTAAGCTTCCAAAAGGAAGCTCCAGCTTCACTTGATTTTAAAAGTTGTGGTTTACCATGATTGGCGTGCAATCTTGGCACGCGACAATCGTGGCAAATTCGCAGAGCATTTAGGGTGCTCTTGCAAGATAACAGGTAGGAGGAGTGGGAGGGAACATTATTTAGGAATAGTTAAGAGTTAGCCAATAGTTAGATTGGTCAATAAACAATCACTTTCTGTGATACAAGTCAACCCGGCTAAAAAATATGAATCAAATGAATACACATATGAATCTATAACATGCAATCACAATTTATGTTTACAATAAAAGTATGGAATTTAGCAGGCAAGAACAGCCATTTGTGTGCTGAAACAAGAAGGCGGAGAATTCACACGTTGACTTGGTCAACTCATGAAATGACTGTTTCAGTTGTGTAAAGGCATTTGTTCAATTATGGTCATATCAATTTGAATGAAAGACATTTTAAATATTAATTACATTACAACAGAAAAATTATACTCGGAGAACTCATGTTATAATGAAAAAAAAAACTGTAATAAACAACAGAAATAATCTGGAACATGTTCTTAAATTAAACACAATTATAAAATACAGTACATTATTTTAAAGGTATTGCAAGTATTTCCCTTCAGGGCATGTCTACAGCTAATTCAATTTCATTTATAAAAAAAAACCCAACAAAACACTATATGGTTAATCAAAGTGAAACAAGAACATCTGTACAGCAGATAATCAGATTCTTCCTTTCATTTGCTAAATAGTTTTAACCAAAATTAAACTGTTATTAATGTAAGTCCATGACATAGGGACAACAGGAAGAAAAATAATTCTCTGATTCATTTCATGCTAAAGAGCTCCTAAAATGACACTAAATGAAATCTTCATTCTCCAAACATATTCTATAACCACCCAATATTTAATGGTCCTGTAAACTACTTTTCATTCCTCCTTTGTACCCTTCTCAGTAATTTCCTGAGTGCATATTAGCTGTGGTCATGTACACTGCTCTAAGCACACTACAAATCCCATAGTCCACCTCAAGAGCAAGCAAGAGAGGAAGGACATGTTTCTACATACAGTGGGACCCCAACAACAGTAAAATCAGTCTGTATATGCAGTAAAGCATGCTAATTACCCTCACTGTGGAACCTAAGGGGTTAAACCTCTGCATTGTGTAAAAATGCGGTTTGATCCTGTCTTCTCTGATCTTCCCCTTCTACTGTCCCCAAATCCATCTGCTGATAGTACAGAGGTCTAGGAGTCGCTCTGCACATGCTCAGTTTAGTGTGTATTGCTAGTTTAGTGTGATCAGCACAGGGCCAACCAGCACTGTCCAGGCACGTGGTCAGGTGTTATGAAGCCTCACATGACAGTCAGAGCAGAATGAAAACTCCTCCTACAAGCTTTAACGAGTACACATCAGGACACTGATAGAAGTCATAAGACTGCTATACACTGTTGATGAGAAAAGGTACTTAGCAGTTTATATATGTACTACAATAATTGCACTTCCATGTGGTGTGTACTGTGGGAAACCAGATATAGTGATTCACTCTACAGTCAGGCGATCTTTAGTGTGAAAGGCACCAGAGAGGTCTTTTCTTTCCTGCTGTATTTGTTTTATGGACTTAAAATGTCAATGGAGTTTACTTTTACTAGTGCGTGGTCATCCTCTGGTATCAGCAACTAACTGGATATGCCCCTGATGACAGTGTGGGCAAACGTAGAATGACCTGGAGCAGTATTTTACCACTTCTAGTTTTCAGAAAAGGTTCCAACCTCACTGGCTGATACAAAACTTTGATAAACACATCCAGTTAGGTACAAGTGTCCTGTGGGGTTTCTTAGAAGCATCGCTTGGCACAAACTATGACAGCTTTTCTCAACCGCTTCAACACAGAGGAGCCCTTGAAATAACTTTGTGTTTATCTCAGGGACCCCCTGCTAAAAATGAGTATATCTACAACTTAAGATATGGGGTACCCAAACTTTTCAAACAAAGGGCCGATTTACTGTCATTTACTGTCATTCAGACTTTAGGGGGGCCGGATTGTGGCCAGAGGGGTAGAAAATGTCCCGGGCCCAGCATCAGTGAGAATAAACGTGGCCTCAGGGTTGGCGGTCAGTAGGGGGAAGAGTAGTGCCCCATCACTGGTATTAGTGGAAGTAATAGTGTGCCATTGTTGGTGTTGTTGGAGGAACAGTGTCCCATCATTAGTGTCAGCGGCAGGAATTATGCTGCATTGTTGTCAGTGGGAGGATTAGTGCCTCATATCATGGGAGGAAAAGTGCCTCAAGGGCCAGATAAAAGCTAGCAAAGAACCACATCTGGCTCTCAGGCCGCATTTTGGAGACTGCTTTGTGTGATGGTCAGTGAGAAGAATGCTCCTTATGCTTGTGGTCATTGGGAAGAATTACCACCTTACAGATAATTAAAAAGATCACTGATCTCAGCAGGAACCTATCTGAGAGGCAGGAATTGTTCACTGTTGAAGGAACCTGTGGAGGAACCCTAGTTGAGAAACCTTAGATTACAGGATCACACATATGGGCTTTGAAATATAGCACGTGGCAAGTTTGTACTGAACTTATCAGTCAGTGGGGCTTTGTGCTGTGGATATATGAATGTTGCATGCAGTGGTAGGTCCACACTAGCCACCAGAAACAGACTGCTTCTCTTGTTAAAAAGCAAGAAACCACCATTGACATTCGCACAGGCAACAGATGATTTTTTGCATTCAGTAACCGTATGTACCTTCTCTAATGTTTCCCATAAACATTAGATGACAGTCTACTGCTGTCACTCTCAACCAGGTTTCCTCCATAAGTTGCTAGGGCTTCTTTGAGCTGTGGCTAATTGACCTATCATTTGATAAACCCTGCATAATAATGGGTCCAATGCCACTTGGCAGAGACGGTTTCATAAACACCAAAGATCTTTTTTAGCTGTCTGAGCCCTAGTGTAAAGGTGGAAATTTTTCCCACTGGCCAACAATGTAGAGGTAATTGTTCCCACTGATCCTGATTAATTAATTGTAGCAGGGGTTCTTGGGCACCTGAAATATATTTCAAGGGTTCCTCTGGGGTAGAAAGGTTGGTCTACGGTTTTATCCCCTTTCAACCAAAGTAGGTGGCAAGCTAATGTCCTTAGTACAACTATGGATGGTACTGAAGGTCCAATCTTCAAGGGCCAAAGGAATCAGCTTGGAAAACCTTGTCCAGTTACTATTCCCCTCAACATATGCCAACTGTAGAAAAACTGAAAAGAAGTGAAGCCATGTCTCCCTATTTGTCCTGTAATGCCAAAACAGGAACATTTCTACAAGGCAACAATTCCAAAATAAAGTATATCTAAAGCTAAAACTTTAAAAGGGGGAATCTGATTGGTTCTGAAAATTGGGGTTGAAGTTCCACTTTAAACTGTATGTCAAGCCTGATTATAACTATTTCCCTTCACTTTTTTGTCCTGCCAGCAAGAGATTCACCAGACAGGACAATGTGCAATAGGAACACAGACAGAAATAACAATTTGGCAGGAGGTCCTAGCCTTTCCTACCTTACTAAAGAAAAGCAATTTTACCTGTGTTGATATTGGAGAGTTCCCCTGACTTCCTGTCTAGTTAAATGTTGTCAGCAGGACAGGAACTGAAGGGTAAATCTCTCTAACCGACCCCAAGAAGCAGTAAACACCCAACATGGGGTTCTAAGTCTTCCCCACTCTATCCAAAACTGCAAAAAAAAATATATTTTGCCTGGACATTAACTTTAATTCTGCTCTCTTTGAATGTGAGAGGCATTTTCGAAGCAAATACGCACCCAATGAACAAGTGAGCAATTGCAAAAAATATGAAACATTCATTTGACAAGAATAGTATTTTTTCACAGTGCACATATATGAAATATCCACCTGACACATAACTATTTCTCTATTACATGTGACATAACAGATAGTTGACACACAATATTACCTGCAAATGCAGGTGTTTTCCAACCTCCACCAGCAGATAGAGAGAGGTATCCAAGCCGGTAAAAGAGATCCAGTACATCTGCAATTCATTTGATACCCTTGAATTATTGGAATTGGGGAAATATATATTCATTTACAACAGCAGTTCATACCAGGTGGAGAATGACTCTCCTTTTAGCTAACTGGATGAAACTGCTGTTCTTTGCATACAAGTTAATTCATAGCTGTATTGCTGTCAGAGAGTCATCACGGCTGCTTTCTATAAACTTTGAGGTTAAAGTGGAGCCGTTATCTGTAGCTAAAAGGATAAATCTGCTTTTCACTAAAACTGTGGTCTTAAATAGTCAAAATTTATACTACAGAGCAATAGATTTAATTTGGGGTTGCACAGTATTTTTTCCCTATGAGCTAGCCTGCTACTCCCCTATCTACTGCTTTGAAGCAGGTGCCTGTTCACACAGAGTGTATGGAAAGTTGCGGGATGTATACACTGGGGGGATTTACTAAAACTGGTGCACTCAAAATCTGGTGAAGCTGTGCATGGTAGCCAAACAGTTTCTAAATTCTACTTGTTCAATTACGTTTTGGCAATAAAACCTGGAAGCGGATTGGTTTTTGTGCAGAGATCCACCACACTTTGTATCATGCAGTTTTAGTACATAACCTCCTTTGTGTCAGGGCCAGTACAGGATTATATTAGGTGCTGTGCAGAAGGTATTTAAAGTGGGACTAAACTAAAATCCGATTTGCCTTGTCCAAAACTCTATAATAAAGCTTGTTGTTGTTTTTGAACATACTGGGGAGATTTCACCTCACTTCCTGGTTTCTTGGACAGGAAGTGAGTAAATCTCCCCAACAGGGACACAATAAAAACTTGGCAGATGTTCCTCATTTCCTCCGCTCAATGCAAAACTAAAAAGAGTTTTACTTATACGCCCATCTTCAGCCAAAACAGAAAATGTGGAGAGAGGAAAACAGAACTAGTATCAGATTTTAAATACAGAACAATAGTTCTGGCAAGGCTTCTGTCAATGGGTACTTGATGGTAGCTAAAACCATAGAAATAGAGAAAGGAGCGCCAAACCAAAAATGGATAAAAGAGCCAAAGATTATTTTAATTGTTGGCCAAGAAAAAAAAGTCACATAAAAATATTCAACACGTTTTGGAGCAACACCACTTCCCCTTCACCAGGGTTCAATACAGAATAAAACTTGGATGGACTCAGTGAAACAGTGACAAAAGAAGCAATGTGTTGCTGTCCAGCAACTATTACATTGATACTCGATGAGGAGCATTTAAAATGCATTTCAACATAGATTTGAATAAAGTTTCTGAATACATCCAAAAGTTATCCTAGGTTGCCTCCTGATGAAGGGAGAGTATTGTTGTCTCTGAAACGCGTTGTTTTTCTGTGACTTTTACCTCTGATGTTTTCTGGTCTGGCTCTCCTTTCGGTATTCTCATGGTTTTAAATGCTGTCTGTGTTTCCTTTGTAGAATTTTCTCCTCACTTCCTGATTTGTCTGACCCCATCAAATAGACAGGAAGTGACAAAAATCTTCAAACCAGGGCCAGAGATAGCAATAAAAGGATTCTAACCTTTTTCTAAAACTGACAAAATGTATGGAATAGAGATTTAAAGATGAATTTCAGATATTGCACAAACATATTTACATTGGTCCAAGCTGAACCAATGCAACTATGTAAAAATTGCAATACCTGGAATTCAGCTTTAGCAGTTGAAAGTTTAGTTATAAATTCTACTTATCCAATAGAAATATGTAACCAAAGGCCTAATTGCCATGGGTAACACACTTTCCCTGAAGTCTTAATAAATCAGCTCCACAAAATAAAGTCGGTAAAAGCAGCTGCAGGCAAAATGGACCTCATAAATAAATCAGGGTCTCTATCACCCAATGGAACCAAACTCTTCTAATCTCTAACTTGCACAGCAGAGGAAGAAAGATGGCCATGGGCAAAAAAATCTTTTTCCTTTAAGCCAATTTTCAGAGACTTTCGGGCATGAGGCCAATATATTTTTGTATTGATGCTAGGCATCATTACACATTTCACTTACGCTCAGCAATAGGGAACACTACACCTAATCAATACTTTCTAGAATATGGCAACTGTAGTTTATACTCCGTTGGAAATCCCCTTATCCAAACCTACACAACATGGGTCATATTAACCCTACACCTTTCATAATTCTTTTGCAAACTCACAACTGATTTTGGAGTGTAAGTGTAGCTTTCTGGATTTGATTTGTCATCTAGAAATCATATAAAAAATAATCCCTTCCAGCAGGTACTCGTCTGTCCACCACCATGATTGCTTGTGGCCCAATGAAAAACCCTGCTACGGGTGAAGCATTTAAATTCCCTTTGGTCTTCCTACAACTAAGCACTTGGTGACTCACCAGCCATTTGCCAGCCCCAAGACCTGTCTCATGGTGAATGGACCTAAAACACTTGCAAAATAATTCCCCCCTTACTGGACACCCTAGGACCATTTTAGGGCTTCTCTCCCATCTCTCTGACCACAATACAACCCTTGAGTCTAGGTCTACTTTAACATTGCATCCTATGTTAAAGTAGACCTAGACTCAATCGCTAAAATCTCATATAAGCTAGGTTGTTTCTTAAAATATTTAGCTTTCATTCAAGCAATACCTGGCCATTATGCTATGAAGGTCCTTGTGCAGGAACTTCCTATTATCAGGTGACAAATGTCTCCTAGTTTCACCCTTGCTTTGAACCCTCCCTTATAGATACTTCAGTGGTGGTGAAAACAACCTAGCTTATATGAGATTTTAGTGATTGAGTCTAGGTCTACTTTAACATAGGATGCAATGTTAAAGTAGACCTAGACTCAAGGGTTGCATTGTGGTCAGAGAGATGGGAGAGAAGCCCTAAAATGGTCCTAGGGTGTCCAGTAAGGGGGGAATTATTTTGCAAGTGTTTTAGGTGGACCTATAATGTAATAACATTTGTCCCGTGCTCATCATCCTACTCCCTTAGCGTAGCATATATGACCAATGTGTCAGCATCAAGTCATGTCATTGCTAGTGAAAGAGGGTATAAAAAAATTTGTTTCATCAGCAGAGGTTTTTAACTGTTCTAAATGCCATTTATAAGTATACTGGAGATTGTTATTACAGTAAAGGATTAGTATAGATGTATAAATACAAATAAAGGAATGTTGAGTGTGCCATCTTTAAAGGGAGTCTACTATACATCCAAAACACTCCAAAAACATAAATTATAACAGCTACTCAATTGAATCTAATTTCTATGTTATCTATAGAGATAAGAATACATTTCAAAAGAAAACATTTTCATCTAGTTGGCCATAGTATGTAAAGTGTTAATTCTCCCTATCTATTGACTACAAGAGGTCCACTGATACAGTATGTATGTGGTAAGCAACCTCGGTACTCCAGCTGTTGTGGAACGATGTAGAGTGATGGGATTTGTGGTTTCACTACAACTGGAGTACAGAGGTTGACTACTCCTGGTATAGAAATTAGGTGTAGTGGCTTTGTTCTTTATGTTGTATGAGACATTTGGTGAAGCGAGACTGCTGGCAAAAATGTTAATTTTAGGAGACTTCTGATGAGCAAATATGGCATAACAACAATCTTATGTTGCAGATGCATTATATTTATCAATACAATGACCATGTTGTGCATAACCTACACAGTACAATTAATTATGTCAATAGTTTGACATATGGTACCCCTTGTCTGCTCTTTCCTGCTATGCTGAGCAACTATGCATGATGTGGAATTCCTAATGAAGTGCTTCTTACAAAAAGGAATGCATAAGATTCCCTTCAGTTAAGTACACATGGATGGATGAATGAATATCCGGTAACAACACACCCACTGGAACTCATGGGCCAATATTATGGAAGCCTACTGAAATAGTTATTTCAGCTTTGGTTATATACCAACAGCTTTATGTACCTCCAGTAGATTCCAGTAGTAAATACCATTGTCTTTAGGCCTCATGCACATGGGTGAATGAATTTACAAATTTAAAAAAAAAAAAAGCAAAAATAAATAAATACGATACCTAAAACTCTTTTGATGCACCTCTATTTTATTGCTTTCATTTTAATGTGCTATAAATGTTAATATGACATATCAACCAAAATCCCTACATACTGTATACTATTTAGGTCATTTCCTTTTTATACGAAGGTTCTTCAAAAAGGTTACTCACTTTTTAAAACGTGTGTGTGTGTGTGGTTTGTATAGTTTTCTTATGGATAGCAGAGTATGTCTGAAGGAACTAAAATAAAAATTAGATCAGGGGATCCCAACTTTCATAATTATTGCTGAGCTTCTAACAAATGATTCTCTCTTTATAAGAAAGCAACACAGTTAATAAATTAACTTTTTGGAAGAGGGGAGGGGTGGGGGTGCTATAATTTCCTAGAAACAAGAACTAAACCAAAGGGAAAGTGAACAACTCCAACATAATGCCAAAACCAACGCTCAAATCTTCAAGTAAAACAGGAACGTGGAAACTGTCAATCGCTGAGGTGCGGCCCTCTAAAGATCGGGGAATCTTGATACTAGCAAAAAAAGAATAAAACAGGGTGCACTCTCCTCGTGCATTACTATGGTAAAAATTAATTTAATATAAAACAAATGCATACCAACAGATCATAAAAACAGAGACAAAGGACCCAAGATGTCGGTCCCAGGCAGTGGGGGTCCTTGGGAAAACAACGCGTTTCGGGAGTAGAATTCCTTTCCTCAGAGCTGAAAATCCTAGACATGTGATGGTCCATCTGAGGAAGGGAGTTCTACGCATTGTTTTTCCCAAGGATCCCTGCTGCCTGGGACCAACATCTTTGGTCCTTTGTCTCTGTTTTTATGACCTGTTGGTTTGTGAGTATGCATTTGTTGTTTATATTAAATTCATTTTTACCACGGTGATGCACGAGAAGAGTGCGCCCTCTTTTATTCTTTTTTTGTTAGTATAAAGGGAAAGTAAAGCTTTATTGCACAATAGGAAAACAGATCGACAACTCAGTATTAATATGGAGCCAATAAAGGAGATCAATACTGACCATGTTGTGCTTGAGGATTCTCTGTACGACTGGAGTAAAGACCTCAATGACCACCATGGAACGAGGACGCTCTCTACAGTGCTATAGTAACAGAAACATTTGGAGAATGTTAAGAAAAGTGATGGAAGCACAAGGATATTGTATAAAGTTTTAAAGATTATGTACTGTATAACCTTTTGATAGGAATGCCAAGTGTTAAAAAACCACTATGGAGTAATATTTGGCTGTCTGCGTCTCATTGTAGAGATTTCCCTTTGCTTCCTGTGTGAGGACACAACAGAAAGCGAAAGAAAATTTCCCTAATAGTGATCACTGGAGCAGGTGTCCCCATTAGATGTACCATCACTTCTCATTCTGTTGACAGCTATAAATTTTGGATTTCTCATCACTTTCTGTCTTGATGACAACGGTCTCCAGGACAAACAGAGATACCTCCTCAGCAGGGATACAAATCGCAAGGAAAAGCTGGCAGAAGCTCTTAACCTTCCCTACTCTAACCAAAAATGCAATATAAAAGCAGCTATCAGGTAATATGCTATCAGCAATTAAAAATACATTTAACAGTTTTGAATAAACATGGTATAAAATAAAAATGTAAAAAAAAAAGTAAAATAATGTATAATGTGGTTAAATTTTCGAAAAAAGAAACGTGGATAGGATTATTTACAGTAAACTGATAACATTAATATCTAAATAATTATTACAGATTACCTGTAACTGCTGATAAAAAAATGATAACAAAATCAATACTGTGCAGATATACATTGTATGCTGATACTACACACAAAGCTAATAGAACTGAAGAAAAATTTGAGGTCTGTTAAAAATTGATATAGCATTTGTATATATTATAGAAAAATACTCAGAATCTTCTTCTTATTGCTCCTGAGACTGGTTAAATAATGTTTCCAGAAGATGGGAAACTTAAAGTGGTTGTAAAGACTGAAGGTTTTTTACCTTCATGCATTCTACGCATGAAGGTAAAAAACCTTCTGTGTGCAGCATCACCCCCAACCCCTCCTAATACTCACCTAAGCACCCTCTTGATCCAGCGATGTGCACTGGAGACTCGGCTATCCCGGGAATCCCTCTTCTCATTGGCTGAGACAGAAGTGGGAGTCATTGGCTCCCACTGCTGTCAATCACAGCCAGTGAGCCAATGAGAAGAGAGAGGGGGCGGGGCCGAGCTGCAGCTCCATGTGTGAATGGACACAAGGAGTAGCAGGTGATCCCATAGCAAGGTGCTTCCTGTGGGGGACCCGACAGGAGGCAAGGGCAAGGAACGCCGAAGGGGACTCGATTAGAGGAGGATCTGGAACGCTCTGTGCAAAACCACTGCACAGAGCAGGTAAGTATAGACATGTTTATTATTTTTTCTTAAAAAAAAAAAAAAAAAAAGCCTTTAGAACACTTTAAAATTCAACAACAGTCCAACATCTACATGGAATATGGTGGCTGCACAAAAAATTTAATGTTTTGTAAGAAAGCTGCATGCTTATAGAGATGCTGGAGATACAATCAGGGGAATTTCATAAATCTCTAAGGACACTTTTCTGGCAGTACTTCCCTTTAGGGCTACCTGTGCCCAATTCAGGCAAGCATTTTCTCCAGTGTCAGTAACATTACCCACGTGTGCCAAATTCAGGTAGCTTTAACTACTGCCACTTTAGGAACCAATTGCTAAGGCAATAATAGATTTTTTTAAGCCAAACTCCATGGAAAAAAAAAAAGTTTTCCCATGCAGTTGGCTGCTCATTTTATCTAGGAGTGAGGAGAAAGATGATATTCACCCGATCCTTTGATTCCCTGGAAAACAGTGCTCCTCCACTGTCCAGTGGTGGACTGTTCGTAGTTTATAGAGCCTTATTTGGCTTGATGACATCTAGAACAGTCCACAGTTCAAGATTGCTGGAGCACAGGGGTGCCAGACCGATCTTGTGCTGGGAGAATCAGAGAAATAGATAACTATATCTCCATTCTCCTCTCCACTAGAAACAAACAAGCAGTTAAAGCGAAGCTCCACTCAAAAGAGGAAGTTCCGCTTTAAGGACTGCTCCCCCCGCTCCCCATTAAGGATTGGCACCTTTGGGGGGCGGGGGGAATCGGGTACCCGAATTTGACAGGTACCCGCTCTCATTTCCGGTCCGATTGCCTAGGCGATTAGAAAAGGAAGATGTCCTCCCTCCCTGTAGTCTTTTGGGACACGTGACAGGTCGCAGAAGACTACAGGATCATTCATAAAGCGCAGCGCTACTCCTGCATGCTGAAGCAGCAAGCTATCACAGTCGGGTGCCCACACTGAAGATGCCGACCTCCTGGAATACAGGACGGCCGGTGAAACGGGCTGTGGGGGACACACCACAGGACCGAGGGACAGGTAAGCGGCTGTTTTTCAAAAGTCAGCAGCTACAGTGGAACTCCGCTTTAACCTGTGCAGTGCGGGCACAGCTCCACTGCATGTAAAAAAAAATGTTATTGTCTGTGGTAGGGCTTTAAAGAATTATTGCCATTTCGCAGATTAGGGAACAGTAATTAAGACCAACTCTGAGCTGACATATGGAGGTACTTCAGTGCTCAGAGTGGGGGCATGTCTTTTCTGGGAAATGGTCAAGAAAGTGATTGCTTCCCATACAGGGCTCTATTCACAACCTGATTCAGCTGTCAGTCAGGAGATTACCTACCACAAAGCTAGATGTACCAAATTGGCTGGGAATAGTGGTGTCATTATCCAAATATTGCAATGCCTGATGGGAAATTGAAAGACTAGTTCTCCTTTAAGTCTGCCATACTTCTGATTGACAGTGGATGGTAGTGTGCAGATTTGAAAGCCGTTATTGGACTGAACAGTGGCTATGAATCTGCCCACTTCCATACGCTGTCCATTAACAGCAAGGTGCACCTGAGAAGTAACTAGCCTCATATCCCCATCAGGCTCTGCCCATTGCACTAAAAAATTATCCACCATGGGTCTGTCAGTGTGTCGGGTGCAGTGGCTGTGCACGAAGCACAATGAGAACGTAGTGTCCAAGTATGGAGACTCTGACCCCAGTACAGGGCACCGACAGATTCTTGAACCTGTGATGTGTACACATGTCTCATTTCCCCATCAGGCTCTGCCCAACGCACTAAAAAATTCTCCGCCAGGAGTCTGTCAGTGTGATGGGTGCAGTGGCTGGGAACGAAGCACAATGAGATAGGAGTGTCTAAGTATGGAGACTCGGACCCCAGTACAGGGCACCGACAGATTCTTGAACCTGTGATCTATACACCCTTGTGTACAGCCTTTATGAATTCCTCCCAATGTTTTCTTAGCAAGACTGTTCATAGCTGGGTCTTTTTTTTCCCATCACCCAGCGGGAGACTGTTTCTTCAGGAGACAATGACTGACCTTCCAGCTGTTGTAAAACATACATTCCTTGCATGGAAGGAAAATTACATTTCTTATACATGGGCTTGTTCTCAGAACAGTGATATCACATGTTAAGCGTGCCATACGGTGTCCCCCCTCCACAGTAGCGAGGGGGATTGAGGAATAGCCACATATCCTGACAGGGGGGACTCCTTCGCTGATCACTGCTGCAGACGCTGTTCGAATAAAATGTTCCAACATTGTTGGACAGAAGTCGGTCATTAGAATGACTTCTGTAAAGCAGAAACAGCCAAAGATGGATCAAAATTCAGCCAGACCCCGCTGAATTGGCCAAATTTCGATCCATTGAGCTTTAGACTCTAAAATCCTATACACACGATGAGAATATCGGAAGAATGATCGTTCTTTTTTTTTGCATGCTAGTCTCATATCAAAAGTGGAAGAATACTAAAGTTACGTAAATTCAGAACAAAAATTTGGAAGTGATGTAATGTATTGTAGTTTCAGATGAAAACTGATTTAAAAAAAATTGTACAATCTGGTTCCATACAAGTAAACATTTCCATGCTTGTCCCTTTAAATAATTTTGGATGAAAACTGTGTACTAATGATCAGATTATCGTATGATCACTTCGAAGCGGTATTTTTCAAACAAGTTTCTGATTGTGTGTACTAGGCTTAAGACTGATTAGGTGACAACAGTAAATGTAGAACCTGCCACTTGAGCAAGTGCTAATTATCTGCAGAACAAAAGCAAATACTGGAATTTTACTTGAACAATCCAGCTCTGTCCACAGAGTGTAGTTAAATGCAGTTGCTCTCTTTTACAATTTCCAGTATGTTGTGTCGGTTGGCTCTAAATATAAATAAAAGATCATCCATACCTTGCAGAAGAATTCACAGAGATCAGGAGGGGGGTGGTTGTTTTCCAAAAGAGGAGCAATAGCCTGAAATATAAAAGAAATAAAATGCTCAGCATAAAAATAGAAAGTACCTTAGTATGAAATCACCTATATAATGCAATATCAAAGGGTATGAAAACCTTAAAGTTTAACCAAAGACAAAACTTTTTTTCTTTAGTTTTGGATTGAATGGAGTTGACTTAGAACCCCTGTCAGTTTGTATCGCTGTCTGTGCCCCAGGGGCGGGCGGACTGACAACTCATGGGGCCCCCGGGCAATAGGGGATCATGGGGCCCCTGTGTCCTTGCCCAAACTCAAAAAAGCCAATGAAAAAGGTACCAGGGGCATCTCATGGGGCCCCCTACTGACCTCGGGCAGCGCCGAGTTTCCAAATGGTCAGTCCGCCCCTGCTGTGCCCCCGTTAGGGAGATTCACCCTCTCCATTTATCATGTTTACCATTATCATCAAAAGTGAAAGTAAAAGAATCCTAATTTTGGGTTGTCCCTAGAAAAGTAATAGAGGAGAAATTTTCCAATGGGGACACTGATTCTGGAGACTTGGGTTTCCCCAAGGAATTCCCCCGATCTGCAGAGATTGCCACTCACTTCCTATTTGGCTATGAGACAGGAAGTGAAGGTAAATCTCCCCAAAGGGCACAGATGGCAAAAATAAACTGACAGGGGTCATAATCATCCCTTACTCTATCCAAAATGAAAAAACGTTTTGCCTATAGTTCTTCATTAAAATTCAAATATAGCCAATTTTATTCTGATAGATTAGGGAAGAGTTGAAACCGCTATCAAGTTTTTATAGCTGTCTTAGACCGGGAGTTTCCCTTTGTTTCTTGCTCCGGTGACATGCTGACAAATGGGTTTCACCTTGGGAAGAAGTGATGAGAAATCCCTCTACTGGGGACACAACAATAAAACATAACAGAAATTCTCACCGTTGCTCACTCTATTAACAGAAGAAGTATTTATTACCATTTTCAGAGATTCCTCATTTCTAATAATAGTGGGATGGGAAGTGAGGGGAAATTACCCCAACAGGGATGCTGCCAACCATAAAATCCCAACGTGATTTCTAAACTAGATACAAAGAAAACAAACAGAGGGCTCACCGGCCTAGTGCATTATCGTAAAAAAATATTTATTAAAAGGATAAAAAATAAGTATCGTACTCACAATTGACATACAGGACAAAGGCACATCACACTAAACAGTGGTGTCCAATCTATACTGCATATAAGTCCAAAAATGGAACCCTGGACTTCCAACTGGCTAACGCGTTTCGAGGACTCAGCCTCTTCCTCAACACCTTGCGTTAGCCAGTTGGAAGTCCAGGGTTCCATTTTTGGACTTATATGCAGTGTGGATTGGACACCGCTGTTTAATGTGATGTGCCTTTGTCCTGTATGTCAATTGTGAGTACAATACTTACTTTTTATCCTTTTAATAAATATTTTTTATGATAGTGCACTAGACCGGTGCGCCGTCTGTTTGTTTTCTTTGTATCTAATGACTTTGGACTACCCAGATCCATTGAGGGCAGCAAGGAGTGCACATTCCAGGAAATTTTAATTGTTACCATAGCCTTTGTTGAGTCCATCCCCAGCGCAGGAGTACAGAGTTTTCTGTGTTTGCGTGATTTCTAAACTGTTCCCCACTCCATCCAAAATGAAAAAAAATTAGATGGATGGAGTTGACAGATTACTACACATATAGCCTAAAGCGTACTAAAAAGCCCACACTATTTTTTTCTTTTTTTTTTTTTACTCAATCCCATTCTTTATCCAAAAAAGAAAACACAGTTTGACCGTAGTCATCCTTTAAACATTGTGAGACCTATTGAAGACTCTAACACAACTAAGTAGTGAATTCCTGTACCAGAAAAATATACGGTATAAAGCAAATACCAGAGCTACACAGGAGCTTTAAGGAATGCAAATTTTTTTTAGGGGTTCCAGCACACACATTGCGCCCCAACACTGAAGTCAGCCTTTTCCTCTGCCCTGGTTAAAAATGGCTGCCTGGCATCTTATACCACTTGAGAGCAGTAAGGGCTGCAGAAAAACAAAAGTAAACTTTTCTCATGGTGTCTGTGGCTATTATTATCTGGAAAATCAATTTTCACAAAGTATACAAGTAATATCCAGATTACTGAGCTGTTATTAGCAATCACATTAATAAAAAAATTGAATTTTATATACAGATATCTTCTATGTAATCACAACGCAAGGTTCGCTTTAAGCAGAAATGGCCTTGCTCGCCTTTGCAGCTGACACTTCAGCCAGACTCACAGTGCTTACTAGAAATTATAGTGTTTTTCCATCTAGCATGAACAGTACAACAAGAGACTATGTTTTACGAGCCCAGAGATTTGTTTATTTCTTGTTTCTTTTAAACAACTGTCAAAGTTTCAGAAAACTCAAGCCACCTAATTATTCTATAACCAAGCAACCGAATGTGCTTGTATAAATATGAAGGAAGGTCAGAGCTACTTCTGCCTGCTCCATTGGGATGCTATCAGATCACCAAAAGGAACAATCATATTTCATAAAAGAGAAGGTAATTGCCCGCATAGCAGCAAAGTTTTGGAACCTGGTAGACAGTTTAGAATATAATACATATATAATAAAAAGCTAATTAAGAAGATCTAGTCCAACAAAGAGTGCACCTGCTTTAATAGTAAAATCTGATGCCTTAGAGAAGCTTAAAGCGGTGCTCCACCCAAAAGGGGAAGTTCCGCTTTAAGCCTTTGTCCCCCGCTCCCCATTAAGGATTGGCACCTTTGGGGAGCAGGTACCCGAATTTGACAGGTACCCGCTCCCACTGCAATTGCTTAGGCATTCGAAGCGGAAGTTGTCCTCCCCCCTCCCTCCCTGTAGTCTTCTGGAACATGTGACAGGTCCCAGAAGGCTACGGGGCCATTCACAAAAGCAGCGTTTCTCGCACATGCGCAGTGGACACCCGGCTGTGAAGCCGCAAACTGTCACAGCCGGGTGCCCACACTGAAGATGCTGGCACCAGGGAGAGAAGATGGCTGGTGAAACCAGCGGTGGTGAGGACACCGCTGGAACGAGGGACAGGTAAGTGTCTGTGTTTTAAAAGTCAGCAGCTACAGTTTTTATATATATATTTTTTTTTTTCTATATGCAAATGAGCACGTATGGATGAACAACTTGTCAACGGTTAGTCATTTAACATATATCTTTGCTCAACTAAGTGTAACAAAATACTTTAAAGTCTAATGATTGCAGGATTCTAAGTAAGATATTACTAGACCCCAACAAAATTAGTAAGTCTTCCTGATGTTACAGAATTAAACCAATACTCAAGTCTGTAAACATCCAGCACATTCCTTTGGTTAAGCTAGTTTGGAAGCAAATCCTTAGGGAACCTAGTGATGAAATTCAAGATCCCCAAAGAAATTCTTTGATTTATGGTAAGTTTTTTTTTTTCAATATAAAAGGCACACGGAAAAAAATGTTTGCTGGTATGGCTGATCGTATGCAAAATGTATAAAAAAGTAGCCCTGTTGTTTGAAGTTATATGTGCACCATCAAAGATATTTGAAATAATGTATATTAATTACTAAAAAAAAAAAAGGAGGTAAGGAGCCCCTCATATTCTTTATTATCGAAGGGTTGACCAATTTGGATTTCCACCTCACTCATAACCTTCTTGGTCATATTTGACTCAACATATTTTCTTCTGTTCTCCATCTATGAGACTTTTTTATACTAAGGGCCCTTATCCATGGGCTCTTGTTTGTGTCAGAGGTGCTTCTCAACTCATATAAGTAACATGGGAATGCAAAAGCAGCCTAAGGACCTGTGTCAACCAGCTTTTGGCTTGGATGGATGGCAACCTGACATCTTTCAAAATTCATGGACACGGGCATTTGACCTGCTTCAAGAAAGTTATGCATTCTTATAGATTTCTATGGGAATGCCAAACCCAGCTGCTGTAATTAAAAGCCTGTTGAAACAAGCCCAAGGCTGGCCATACATTAGACAACTTTCTTGTACATATTTTCTTTAGATTTACTGAAACCATATAATATGAGGTCAAACCTAAACACTTTCAATTTGTATGCAATCAGGCAGGACCTTGCAATACATAGTTCAAGGTAAATCTAAAGGAAAAAGAAAAAAGAATATAGAATAATGTATGTCCACCTTAACACAGATTGATACAGCTAAAAAAAAAAAGAGGTCAAACCCAAGTCAGATGAAAGTAAGGAGATCAATTGAAGGTCAAATACCCCCATTAATGAATTCTAAATGGTCTCAGAAGTGTCTTAAATTGATTTTGAATGCAAGCAAAATACACTCAAAACACGCTGTATTGGCTCATTGACAAAGTCCTTAAAGGGCCCTTTTCTCAAGTTTTGTACAGATTGGAGAAAGGTTAGCACCCTGTCCGATTTCTATTGTTATCTGTGTCCCTGTGCGGGATAGTCACCCTCTCCATTTGTCTTAGTAACCATTGCCATCAGGACTAAACATGGAAAAAAAATTCCAACATACTGTGTTGCCACCGTAACTAAAATAGAAGGAAAATCTAATGGGGACACATGTTGACAATTATCTAAGAAGGTGCCAATTGGAAGATTCCCCTTCAGTTTTACACCCTGTTGTGTCTAGGAGAGTTGAGGTTAAGGTACCCTTCTGAGTTGGGACTCACAAGGCAAATAAAAAAAAAATGAAAGGGGATTTAAACCATCTCTACTCCAAAACCAAATATAGATATACTATAAATATGGAAGTGTGCACCAACCAATGTAATTACAGCCAAAGAAAATATGAAAATTAAAAAAAAGAACACTTACCACAATGATGCTTTCATGCTCCTGAGTGGTTAGATTGCTATTCTGTAGTAATATAAGAAAAAAGACAGAAAGGAACAGAACTTAAGCAAAAAAGTTCAAGTATGACACAATCTTGTATGAGTACAAAATAGCTTAAAATAGTATCTTTTGCAAGCTTTGCAAAATTAACCTAGATTGTAAGTTCTGACGAGCTGGGCTCTCTGTTTCCTCTTGTACCAAAGTGTATTGTAACTGTAATGTCTGCCTTCATTTTGTAAAGTACTGCGCAAACTGTTGGCGCTATATAAATCCTGTATAATAATAATAATTAACCAACTTCTTTATACTTTACTTGTATATTTGGAAATACTTAAATACATCCTGAACATCACAGAAAAGTATTGTATTCCAAGGTAGGTCCACACAAAAAAATTCTTGAAAGGGATTTCTGATGGAACAACACATAAGTTGTTCTAAAAAAGATTTTAATTTTTAAAAGTGTATGTCTTCGTTTTTTTTTCAGCTTTTCCTGGCTGATGCTGGGGCACTCTGATGTCATGTTCTGGTTGCTTTTGTGTTTTACTACCAGACTGATAGGAAATTTCACTTTGTTACTACAAATATGTGCCTTAAAAAGCAGTATTAAGCCCAAAACAAAAAAAAGATTAATATTGCTGCTTATTAATCATTAGATGTGGTGGCTGCATTATTAGTTGTCTTTTTTTAGGCTTTTTCCCCTCTGTTTTTACCTGGTTATCTGGCCAGTAACACACCTCCTGTACTATGCCCTGTACGCACGTTGAGAATATTGGACAAATGATCATCTGTTTTTTTTTTTCCTGTAGTCTCATATCGAAAGTGAAGAGAATACTAAAGATATGAAAATTCGCGTTTGTCAGAAAGCAGATTCGGAAGTGAAGTCATGTATTTGTATTGTATTTTTGGACAAAAACTGTACTAATTAAACAATCATCGTAGAATCTGGTATCATGCGAGAAAAATTTTCATGCTTGACCCATGAAATAATTTCGAACAAAAACTGTACTAATGACCTGATTATCATAAGACCACTATCATAAGACCGCTTCAAAAGTGGTATTTTTCGTATTTTCTGATCATGTGTTCTAGGCTTTAGAGTGCCCCCACTCTGGATGAAGGAGCACAGGGTCATATTTGGTTAGCAGCATTGTCAGTCTGGGGGGAGGGGAGTGTTAGATGTACTGGCAAATTTAAATACACTAACAGATTGAAACCAAACTCCAGCTAATACTTTATAAGCAGTTACAGCAACAGTTTTGTTCCTATTGGGATAAAGGTTTGACATAAATAAATGCTAATCACTGAAAGAACGTTGGTTAATAGTAAATGGTTTGTTTCAACCTTCCAACTTCTACAACTACAGGACAGCTTATTCTGTTTAAAAACATCAGACTTAGTGGCAGGATCATCAGATAAGAAAAAAGAAAGCCTAACAAGAAAACTAATGCAGCCATCACATCAGAGAAGTGGTAGGCTACAATGTAATAAATGTTTGCTTTGGGTTTCCTACTGCTTTAACAAGAGACTCAAACTCTACCATACCCTAAAGAAGAAATAAATTATGACTGATGAACATGGCATTTTGGAAATACTGGGTTTCATTGGAACTGTTGCTATTGAAGGGGACACTATTGCAAAGAGAAAAATAAATTTAGGCTGTGATGGAAGCAACCATTCTTCAGGGTTTGTGTTCCATAAACCTAGAAGTGAAACCTCTAGCGGAGCTTGTAAAAAAAAAAAAAAAAAGCCAAAAGGTGACATCAAGAGAATAATTTTTAAAATATGTATCTGGACAGGCATATTCATACTGAAGCCAGTATGAATTCTAGAGAACCAGAACAAGTAAGGCCACCTAGAGAGCCACAGTCATATTGTACATGCAGAGAGAGTTATAAAATGACTAATTCTGCAAAACTAGTGTGAAGATCCAACTATTCCATAATACATTACTGCTAAAAACATTTGCTGTGACTCATTCATAGAAATTTAATAACAAGCTACAAACCTGGTCAATTCAAATGGAGTAAATCAGCCTCTCTCAACCTTTTTACCCCAGAGGAACCCATAACATAAGTTTCAGGTCTCAGGGAAACCCTGTTAAATTAAAATTCACCAGAGGTCATTGAAAAAATGCCCCTTACATTGAGGGTCAATTGGGAGAATGCCCCCCTTACAGTCATGGTCAGAATACCACCAGACAGCTAAAAAAAATCACCAGTGACAATACAGTCACAATACAATACACGAGGGGTACGAGGGCCCTGCTCTTTCGAGCTTACAATCTAGGAGGGAGGGGGTAGAGGTACAGGAGGAAGTGGCTGTGAGGGATGGAGTGGTAGGAGGAGTGGAGAGAACGGCTGTTAGGTGAGGGTGGGGTAGGCTTCCCTGAAGAGATGGGTTTTCAGGGTGCGCCTGAAGGTGAGGAGGGTAGGTGACAGTCTCATGGATTGGGGTAGGGAGTTCCAGAGGATGGGGGAAGTCCTGAGAAGTCCTGCAGTCGGGCGTGGGAGGAGGAGACCAGGGAGCTGGAGAGTAGGAGGTCTTGTGAGGAGCAAAGAGTACGGGTAGGGTGGTATTTGGGTATCAGGTCAGTGAGGTAGTTTGGGGCAGCGTTATGAATGGCTTTGTATGTCAGAGTTATTCTATGCAAATATCGACACTCCCTTTTAAAATCGAATTCAGTGGTCTTCAACTTGCAGCCCTTTGCTTACTATTATCGAGCTCTTGGGGCACTATTCCATTAACGGACCCTAAGAATTGAACTTTTGTCCTCCCACTGTCACCAACAATTGGGCATATGTCCTTCCATTGACACCAATAAAGGGGCAAAATTTCTCCTAATGATACCAACGATGGGGCAGTATTCCTACCACTGACACCAATGATGGGGTATTGTTTATTCTATCTGTCAACAGGACAGTTTCTATTCCCACTGGCCTCAATCCGGCCCCCTGCAGTCTGAAAGGACAGTATACTGACCCCTTGCTTAGAAGTTTGGAGACCCCTGGTCTAACTGGTTCTTGCGTCCTATCACCTTATTGGCCTTTAATTTAATGGGCGGCCTTACCAACTAATATAGAGAGAGGCTTGGAATAAAGGAGGGGGGAGGGTCAATGTCAATGTTTATTGAAAAAGTCAAGCGAGTTGGTTTACTAAAATGGGAGAGTGCACAATCTGGTGCAGCTCTGCATAGAAATCAAACAGCTTTCAGGTTTTAATGCCAAAGCCTAATTGAACAAGCTGACAATAGAAGCGAATTGGCTATCATGCACAACTGCACCAAAAATTTTGCACTCTCTAGTTTTAGTAAATCAACCCCAAGGTCTACAAATGAGTCCAGCTACCTATATTTCCTTATCTACTGCTCATTTAAACATGTGGTTTTTGGTGAATGAAACCCATGCATATGCATTTTCATAATAAGCTCAGCTTGCTTTGCCCAGGTTTATGGTAGGTTAACTTTAAGAAATATCATCATCATAACTGTCTTTCCAGTTCTTCTGCCTCAGCGTGTGAAGAGAATAGATTGAAGTGTTTACAGTTAACATGAAATGCATTCAATTCCCCACCAGTCCCAGATGGAGTGCAGAAAAACAAACTGTTCCTTTCTTGGACTCCTCAACACATACAAAATTTAATTTTGCCAAAAACATATTACATCGCTGCTTCCTCATTTGGACAAACTCTCTTTGCATACAATAAACTACGGCCATTAATTTTACTGTCAACTGAGCACAAATGAGTCATTTGAGTCGAAAGGGGTTTTGTGTGGGACTGGTAAAGCACAAGTGTGACAGCAAATGTAGAGAAAAAATAAGCATATAAATAATTTGGCAATAAAAGATACTCCTGATATTCTGGTCTGCCTTTATATCTCAAGGCAACAAATAAAGAACAATTAAAATCAATCAATCTGTTAACCAGTAACTCATGAGATGAAGCGGGCTGCCTACTTATGATACCATAAATACCACGCGCTACTATGTGTGCTAGCTGGGCACAACAATAATCTGCTATACAAAAAAAAAGTATTGCTTGCTTAACCATTTGCCGCCCACCCTATGGCCGAATGGTGGCCAGCAAATGTCATCAGCGTTCCGGGTGGACACCATGTGGCGTCCTCCCGCACATGCGCAGATTGTGCTCCTGCAGAGCAGCGCAGTGGCACGATCTGTCACCGGCCGTGTACCTCGAACACGGCCAATGACAGATCTGAGTATTAGCCCCCGTTGCCGGTACCATGTGACCTGCTGTGACCAATCACAGCAGGTCACATGACAGTTGTATACAATGGATGGCTTCATTCATGCCATCCATTGTATACTTAGTGTCTAGCTGTGAATCATGTGCACATGTCATGTGATTAGCTGTGGCCAAATCACAGCTAAGCACAAAAAAAAACAAAAAAACCCTGAATGAATCGATGTCATTCAGGTAAATGCTTGCTTATAGAAAAGTAATTCTTTGCTATAAGCAAATTGTGTAAAAAGAAAAAAAAATACTGATCACTTTCCCAAAGTAGTACAATGTTACATTGTACTACTTTGGTCATAGTGAAATATGAAAAGAAAATATTAAAAAAAAAAAAAAATGTAATAAAAAAAATAAAATATATATATATTTTTTTTTTTTTCATACTGTCACCAGTCAGTGTCCCTGTTCACCGCCATGCCAGTTATATGATGATGCTGTACTGCACTGGTGACAATATGTAAAAAAAAAAATATTAAAACTAATTTTTTTAATTTTTTCATTTTCCAAAAAATTATGAGAAAAAAAATACAACTTCAAAAACTCGCCATGCCTCTTATGAAGTACATCAGACTGTCTACTTTGCATAAAGGGGTCATTTGGGGGATATCTGTACTGTTCTGACATTCTTGGACCTCAAGAAATTAGATTGGCTGTCAGTACTTCAGGATTGATCAATTTTCAGATCTATACCATAGTTTGTGAACTCTATAACTTTTCTACAAACTAAAAAATACATCCTAATTTGGGTTATTTTCACCAAAGACATGTAGCAGAATACATCTCGGCCTAAATTTATTAAGAACAATTATTTATTTGCAAACTTTTATAACAGAAACAAAGAAAAACGTGTGTTTTTTTCAAAATTTTTGGTCTATTTTTGTTAATTTAGCAAAAAATAAAAACCACGGCAGTGATTAAATACCACCAAAAGAAAGCTCTAGTTGTGTGAAGAAAATGATAAAATTTTAGTTTGGGTACAATGTTGTATGACCGCGCAATTGTCATTCAAAGTGTGAGAGCGCTGAAACCTGAAAACTGGCCTGGGCAGGAAGGTGTAAAATTGCCCGGTATTGAGTTAGGAACTGTTACAATTAAACCTTCCTATCTTTCAAAAATAGAACGCACTAGAAGGGGGTACTAGATCAATCAACAATCATTTTTTATCAAAATCTGTAGAAAATACAGTCAAAATGTAACAAAATGAATTTTATTCTTGCGTGTGCTGTATTGTTTTTGAGCAAAATAGACACTCAGCAGACTAAGGGTCTGTGTTGATGGCTTTGGCTTTTGTTCTCTTAAAACAGTTTTTGGATTGGCACAAAAATCAATGGGAACGCAAAGCCCACTGGACTGCATTAACTAGAAAAAACAAAAGGAGAGGGTGCACCTGCCTAATGCAGTATCAGAAGACCCTTTATTGTGAAAATAATAAAAGCCAATGCATCAGAGCTCTGATGTGGAGGGCACAGCCCTTGAAACGAGTAAGTTACGCCTTGTGGATGGGCACGGTTCAAATGCTGAATCTGGATTGATTTTATGCTTTCAGCTGTATACCTTTGTGAGTATATTGAATTGTATTATTTTCACAATAAAGGGTCTTAATGCACTAGGTTGGGACATCCCTTCCTTTTATTTTTGCAAGTTATTGCTACATGGATATCCCCAATCTGAAGTGGGCAGCAAGACCTATGCGGTGATGAGTTCCCCAGTTAGTGGTTTTCTCTCAACCCAGTCTGATGAAATAGAAGAGGAGCATCGACACAAGCCCAATGCAAAAAAAAAAAAAAAAAACCTTTTTAAATAATGTTTGTAAGCTACCTAAATTTGTAGATTTTTTATATATATATATATATATATATATATATATATATATATATATATATTAGGTGTGCTTAACAAATCCATGTCTAGCTGAGATTCTTTCACGCTAGCCCTATCAGCACAGCACAGCAGCCAGCACTAGAATTTAACACAAACAAGTAACATAGTAGTAACTAATCCCCCTCATACGTGACCTACACATCAAATCCTCAAACACCATCAAACTAGCGATATGCCAATCTAAAAAGAGAAGTATGGCCAAAGATTTATTGGCCATATGTCTCTCGTGGGCCACAAGAGTGCACTTTCTTTTGCTCTCCAGTGAACTAGAATCTGCAGACGTGGCAGAACCAAGGATTTCCAACCATATTGTCGGGATCCACAGATGCCCAATTGACAAATGGCTCTGCTTCTCAGTGCGCAGCTGAGAGCCACTGCCAGCTGAACCCACCCTCTCCTCTGCCGGGTGTTCCAGTGAGCGCTGGAGGGGCAGAGCAGACAGAAGTGACTGACAACCCCTGTTCTCTGCTCAGAGCAGGATGTGAATTGAGCAATCACTGGTCATGTGATAGCTCAGTTCTTCGACTTAGAGCCAACCAGGAAAAGCTGTAACATCTCACCAATGCTGCAGAATAGAGGTGATTATTTGTGTTTGTGTTTTTGTGACCCCCTCCAAACTTGACCTAATAAAAAAAAAAAAGTCTGTGAATCTGTTTGGTAAGAAATACAATGCCAGGCATAAAAGACGTGCGAGTGACTAAGGGAAATTTCACTGAGCACTGGGAGTGCCGTGGAGTTGTTTGTGCATATGGATCATGGTGGTTTTAAGCTGTAAGAAGAAAGTTTCACAGATGATTTACAGAGTGGACAGGGTCATAGAAATCTATGGGGTTCAACAGGTGAAGCCAGAGATTCTGAAGATTCCAGCAAGCCAAGGACTTCACACTCAGGCAAGTATACACTTGGGGCTGGTACTTCAGGTTGGTGGGTATACTTTAGGTTGAAGGATAGACTAAAAGGATAACTGTACTTTCTTTGGAGTCCCTTTTGCATCTGAGCCCCTGTAAAGTTTAGTTAAAGATCTGACAGGCTCTTATTAAACAATAACATAGAAAAGGTTTATTCTAACTGGAGAATAATTTAATGTTCATTCATAAATGTTGCTTTAATATGTTGTAGAACTCTACACACAGAACAATGCATCTATTAAATTTGCAATTCTAGGTGGAGCAAGCCTGTAAGTAGTAAGAACATACAGAGAAAAAGACCAAAACTTTTGAAATACACCTACCGATGACAGTGAAAGTCTGAGAAAAATCCTTGGTAAGTCTTACCTCGGAGAGTAGCTTGGACACAATTTCTAGTGGTGCCTGGTAGATAGAATCATCCTGCAGGGGGGGACGTCAGTGCCATGTCCACCAGGGTCCTGATCTCCTTCAGCACCACTTCCCAGCGATTTGGATTACTCAGAACTTTTTTGTACTTATAGATCTTTTTCTGAAAGACAGAAAATAAATGATAGATATATGAGAAAACTAAAAGACAACGTAAATGTGACCTAGTCATCCCAATTACATTATATACATCTCAGATGAACTGTAAAGTGTAATTATTTGATGTGAGCTCTCAGGTTTTGTATTTGAAAAAAAACATACCAACCAGGGGCGGACTGACCATTTGGAAACTCGGGCACTGCCTGAGGGCCCGGGGTCAGTAGGGGGCCCCATGAGATGCCCCTGGTACCTTTTTCATAGGTTTTTTGAGTTTGGGCAAGGACACAGGGGCCCCATTGATCCACTATTGCCCGGGGGCCCCATGAGTTGTCAGTCCGCCCCTGATACCAACATCAATTTCCCATAACCATGCAGACCTTTCCCCTTTCCTTCATATTAATAAAACTATTCAGTTATGTTGGCCCTTCAAATAGCATATAAAGGTAGTTCAAGTTTTACAGTCTCCACTTTGTCCTAAAGCATCCAATTTCAATGTGAGGTAGAGCGCTGCCAAGGCTTCACCATGATCCCTTGTTGGGGGAATGTTTGTGCTGCAGACAAAGTATGGTCATGAGCCACCAAGACCCACTCTCAAGTCTTGTCAACTCCACTGGGCATCTCTCCTCTAAATCACTCCTCCTTCTACTGGGTAAGCTTGTTTCCCTAACAGTAATATACCAGAAAGCTGTCAAGCCACAATAGACATACTGTATAGTAAATGGTGAAACTATCAGAAAAGCTGAAACAGCTGTAAAACAAGTGCTGGATCAAGCAGTCAAGCTGAAGAAGAGTTGCAATGAACACCAGGACATCATGTCAAGTCACAGAGGCTGTGCAACAAGCACTGGACAAAGCAATCAAATCCAATGATATCAGGAACCTTGTAATCAACATCAAATAAAACATATATAAAAACACATGGCTGGTGCCCTTCAATATCTACTGTATGTACTATAAGGTTTTTTCTATTTAGTATGAAACAATATACCAAGGCCCCAGTCACGTTAGTGATTATATGTGGGAGATCCAGTGAGGGTTCCTGGTGATCAGCTGTAGGTAGCAGCTCCACAGAAATCAATGGGACGCTGACAGCTCTTGCAGCTAATTCCAGCCACTCACATATAATTACACATGGAGCGTTTACCTGCTAGTGACCAGACCCAGAAAGCAGGCAGGGCCAATCATTCATAGGTAATCTCTACAAAAGTGATTACATGCGAGAGGCCACGATTAGCTTTGGGAAATGTTAGCCTCTGGCTGCTTTCAATGGGGCTGCCGACTGCAGCCAATTGTTGGAAACCCCCATTAGGCCTCCTGAATGTAATTGCAAGTGTGAATGGGGCCTAACTTGATTGTAACTGGCTCAGAAAATAACGAATACTATCTCAAAACTATTTTTTTTAGTAGAAATGGAAATGCATTTCTTTCAGTTCAAAGCACCTGATTTTTCTGCCAGTTTTATAGTCTTAGGATTACCTTTTCCTTTCTGAACCAGTACAGAAGGGGGAATGAGGGAAGAGTCAAAACCATCCAAAAATAAGCACAGAATGCATGAAGGTAAAAAGCCTTGAGCCTTCACAACCACTTTAACATTTCTCTAACATTTGATCTTAACTTGTTATCTGTACGTAGGATTCCCCAATGCTTCTCTGATATCCTCAGAGTTTCTTCTACTTGATTACAAAATGTGATAATCACCTTAATATCATTCTGTTCATTCTCCCTTTTACTATATTTTGCTCTCTGAGAAGTTTTTTCTCTTTTCTTTAAACTCATTCTGAGATCTCTGGCCTCTGTCCAAATCTTCAGTACGACACTTAATCAGCATATAATGGCCTACAGGTCATCAAATTAAAGTATGTTTTGCATGGGGGCTATCTGCTCTAGAAGTAATGTTACTAGCCATTTACTTTTACCCCCTGGTCCACATATCTGCGCTCCTGCGGTCCACATTTTACACAGGCACGAAAGCCCATTCATTTGAATGGACTCCCGTGCCCCGGGACACGCAGGGAAGAAGTCCCTGCACTTCTTCTGAAAACGCAGCCCGCATGGGAGTAGCAGCCCAGTATGGTACGCAGCCCAGTACGGTTGCGATTTCCAGTAAGGGCAGTGTGCCATTAGAATTAATGGCACCCGCCTGCGGGTCCTCATTCTTCTGTGCGGGTGGAGCGGCTGCACAGATTTTTGTGCTGATTCGCAGTGGCACCACCCGCACATATGTGAACCTAGCCTCAAAGCAGTCTAGTGATCCACCTTATTTCTGTATTCATTTTAAAAAGTTTAAACTTCTTGACTACAGGTGGAAGTGCTACGCACCATTTGGAACCTACATTCTTTCTACCTTACTTATTAAATTACTTGTGTCAAGAAGCTCTTAAGACCATAACCATAGGTTTAAGATGGTCATCAATATAGTAACCTGCCAGTTCAATTACAATGACACATCCCCAATTATTGGTCTACCCGGGGCAAGGTGTTAAAATGTCTTTAAGTAAAGTGAAATTCTATGCATTAAAAGGTAAAAAAAAACGTATGTGACAAAGAATCCCCCTCCTTATACTTCCCTTAGCCCCATCATGATCCAGCGCTGTGCATGAGAGCTGCGGCTCTCCTGGCCTTGTCCCTCCTCACTGGTCAGATCGATAGCAACAGGAGCCATTGGCTTCAACTCCAGTGACAAGGGAGCGAGAGGCTTGGTAGAGACCCACTGTCTATGTCAATGGACGGAGCAGCGGGACTAGAGAGCGAGCCCGCACAAGTGCCCCTATGGGAATTGGCTTCCTATTGGGGACACCAGCAAGAGGGTAGGAGCCAGGAGCGCCACCGGGGGGGACCCAAGAAGAGGAGGTTCAGAGTCGCTCTGTACAATTCTGCTGCACAGAGCAGGTAAGTATAGACATGTTTGTTTGTTTTTTAATTTCACTTACAACTACTTCAATGTAATGGGTAATGAATAAAAGGTGGGACTCTGCAGGGTTTAAAAATGTAATAACCATCTAATTTGACCATTAACTATCCCAATTTCATACACTTCATCAATTAGGTTGAAAAAATAATTTTTTTCTCAATTTAAACAGGGTCCTTTCATTTTTCTCTTTAATACCATTTTGATTTATTTTATAATTTGTGACACAACTATTCATATATACCGTGCTCCAATGTAACAACATTTGATACCTTATCAGACTTTTTCATTTCAGTTTTATCTTCATCCTGTAAACTCCCATAAAGCTCGTCTTTCTTTGGTGGATAATTTATCTTTACCTGTTTAAGGTTTTTTTTTTTTTTTTTTATCTCTATCTTTGGATTTCATTTTAACAAATAAATCCAAACTTGAATTCAGTGATAAAGGTGGAAACATTTTATTTTCTTGCTTTTATTTCTAATCAATCTTTCATTTTCCATAGCCAATTCCATCAATATTTCTGCAAACGTATCCTTTTCGAACGCATCTTCACAACACCCTTCCTACCAAAATTTAGCTAAGATTTTCAAATGGTTGTGATTCTTAATTCTTACAAGACAAAAAAACACCTAGATGTTTCTAGTATATCCTCATTTCACCTACTTTTCCTGATAAAAGAGCACCAACAAAATTTTTTCTGCATGAGTTGTGTGGTTTTTTTTTTATCAATTTAAACATAACTATGTTTCTGTTTGGAAAAAAATGTCAACCCCCTTCTCTAAAAATAGTTTTCAACTGTACTGTTAGATCTTGAAGATAAATTGTTACATTTAATTCCTTTTCCTGTGCAGGTCATCAGGGCATTACCACTAACGCATCCTCTACACATCTACAAACATTCTGAATATCAATGCCTGGTCCCGTATGTTGATCCATACTCATTTGTTTATTCACCATATTTGTTCCTATTGTGTCTCCTCTCTCTTCTTATAATTTTTCTCCTATGAGCCCCATCTTTTTTCCAACTTGAAAAAAATGCCATCCCTCACCTATAATCTCCACTTTCTGCATTACTTTCCCCATTTGTGCCTCCTCTCTAACTATATCATCTTTTTTTTTTTCTTTTTTTCATAACTTGGTGCTCTGTCTACCATTTTTATAAAATGTACAGAAAGTTCCTCTGATGACCTTTTTTTTTCCTTTTTCTTTATACTATTCCTTCCCAAAATATGCTTTCCTTTTCCTTTTATTTGCAAGGACCACCCACTCACTGCATTGGAAGCATATGATGTGTTTCCATCTTTTGGACATTATTGATTTAGCCATATTTTTATCCCTGATCTCTTCTTTGTTGTTTTGACTATTCACACTGTATGCCTTTTCTGATAGTCCAATCTATCTCTGAATAATGGTAAGTCATTTATTAAACTCCTTTATCTCAATTAGTTTTTAATCCAACAATATATTTCCCTTAAAGGGCATTAGCAAGGCTGTGGTTTTTGCCATATCATTAGCCAGTTTTACAACTTAACACTCATGGAACTTTTTTCTTTCACTTTTAATTGAAAATAAGAATAGAATGGTCATTTACCTATCATGAAGATGCAGTTCAATGGCATAATGAAGAACAACCTGGAAGTACATTAGCTGTCATAGAAAAGGCAACTTGAAAAACAAAGAACAGATTTGAAGGGAAATTCTCCCCACAGATATTGAACATTAAACAGCGTTCATAAATGGGGATCACGATTCAAACAGCATTGGGACATTAGGCAAACTAGTAAAGTGGTACTTGAAATTGCAACATAAATTCATCTTTTCAAAAGACCCCCCATCTGGGGATCCGATAAGCGAAGTGAAACATCATGGGACTTTTTTCAATTTTATCAGCATTTAATCTCCCACAATATTCAAAATTTTTCCCCATTTTGTTTTAAATTTTAATGATTTTTCCAATGCTAAGGGAACATCTGGATTTGCAACCCTCGCAGAACCATTCCCTCTTTTAGGTATTTTTCAAAACAAATCATATGCTATCACAACCTTGATTTTTTTTTTCTCTAAAATCCTTTTAACTATATAAAACAATCTCATAA